GCTTTTTTCTTGTGTGGCACACACCACCACTGTGCTTTGATGGGGTGGGATATTTTGTTTCGCCCACAAAATATATAGTTAATTCACTTTGCAGCATATTCCGCAAAGTGCTTTGAGACGTCTCGAAGATGTGATAAGGCACTATATGAAATGCAAGGATTATTATATATATTTGGGGGGATGGGGGGGAAGGAGACTTCAGCATTGCAAATAAATATTCTGCACTGCAATAAGCAATAGCAGGTGAAAAGTTTCTTCACGGTTATAGATTGTTTGGGTAGCTTTTTGTATGAAAAACAAATTGTAAGTGTCATCAATCTTTCTAGAAATCCAAGTCCTGGCAGGTTTAGCTGTGATACTTATTAAAGTGATATTTTATTCCAAAAGTTGTTGTACAAAAATCAAACACATTTGCATTAAATAATATATAAATAAATAATAATCCTTGCATTTGATATAATATTAATAATAATACAACAACAACAACAAGATTCCATTTATTGAGCGCCTTTCACGTTGGGAGGACGTCCCAAGGCCTGGACAGTTAGGTCAGGACCCGAGCATTGGGGGGAAATGGTCAGGGTGAGGGGAGGGAAGGGAGGGAGCGAGGAGGGGGTAGAGAGTCGAGAGGGGAGCTGAAGGCTGAAGGTCAAAGAGAGAAAGGTCTTGAGACCTTTAATAATAATTAACAATTAATAATCCTGGCATTTGATATAGCGCTTTTCACGTCGGGAGGACGTCCCAAAGCGCTTCACAGAACACACTGTAAAGTGAATTGACTGTATATTTGTGGGCGAACGCGGCAGCCAATTGCGCACAGCAATGTCCCACAAACAGTTGTAGATTGAAAATGACCAATTTATTATTGTTTTGGTTTTGGAGGGAATATTATTAGGCTCTGTGTGGAGTAAGGAAACTTGCCCAAGGTTTCGCCCTCTGCCTGGGATTGAACTCAGGTCTCTCACTTGCAAAGCGAGTGCTCTAACCACTGAGCTACAGGACTCCACTTATAGCTCCATATAAGACTCCATTTAGCACTTTAGCATGTCTTTGGGATGTCTCAAAGCACTTCACAGAATACAGAGAATTGACTTGTGAATTTTGTGGTCGAAACACAGACAATTGTGCACAGCAGGGTCCCACTTAGTGTGGTGGATCGAGTGACACAATTATTATTATTTATGTTTTTATTTATTATATAGAAATTGTAGTTTACACACAGATAACTGGCGCTGGTGGGGGAAGCTGCTAGCATAGTACAGCACAGACACGATGGAGGACGAGCAGGGGAACGGAATTCTGGTAACTTAGCTCCAGTGGGGGAGCTAAAACCAGCAGAGACATGTTGTGGGAAAGAACGGAGAATGGGATTACCATAAAATATCTCTGAGGGGCTTTCAAAAAATGTTTCAAATCTTCTTTCTATTATTATTAATTCAGTAGTTCAGTTGGTTAAAGCTTTTCTGCTTCATGTTGAACTGACGCATTCAGTGTGCTCAGTCATCTGATTTCAACCTGGGTTAACCATAAATAATAATCCTGTCAGGGATGAGTGTCAGTCCATATGAGTGAGGATGGAACGATAGTCCTGGGTTCCTGCTGGAAAGTGCACGTTTGCAGGTGTTAATGAGGACGGGGTGGGGGGGGTCCTCGCTAGATTTCCACGTACCCCCACCTTCCAGCAGGGGATTTGTGGGGATCAGGAGCGGAAACCCTGGGTGATTTTCTCCTCTCTAACCCAGCCTGCTCAGGCCAGTTCTATCTCTGACTGCTGTTCTCATCTGAGATTAGTAACCAGCCTGACCAGGAGAATTGTTGTTCAGTGAAATTCTGTTCATTGAATACTCAATTTGACATTGAAAATTAAATTCAATAAACTGGACTATTCATATAACAGCGCTAAACATAATCAGAGACTCATCTTCCAGAGCTCTGAATTCTGTTCAATAAACAAAACTATTTAATTGTCCGATATTCAATTCACCGAATTTCACTGTTACTGTACTCTTAGCCCCTGTACTCACTGAGCCATCAAAGCATCTGTGTAATGTCCTGCTGTGTGTAACGCCCTCTTATCAGCCCTTTGTTTCTGTGATTTACAGAAAGTAAAAAGGGGTAATTGCATGAAGTGGTGCAATCACTTGCTGAGGGTTCAAATATCGGGAACGCCTTTTAAAAAATATTGTGAAGTTGGGAGTGAGAAAGGAAGTTGGGTGGAATCTTGTTGCACAAAAAGGGCGAAAGCCTGGTTTAAGCTGGGCCCAGCAGACAGTATAAGTGGGGTTGAAAGAAGCAACATTTCTGGGGAAAGAAGGGATTGAGGGGTTTGTTGCCAACAAACAATAATGTTTGTTGTACATTATAGAACTCTCTGCCTAATCTCCCCCCTTTTATTAATTAACTTATATAGATGCCCTCTAGTCACTGACTCACCACTGATCGATGGAAATAATGATTGTCAAAAGCCACTCATCGTTTTAAAGACTTTGATCAGGTTTTCCTCCTGCCTTCTCTGTTCCTGGGAAAATTATCCCTTTTTCTCCCGTCTCTGCTCTAGGTCAGTGCGGGTGGTTGCTGTGTGGAGACTCGGGGTACCAGTGTGCGTTGTACTCTTTTTGTACTAAACCTTTCGAGAAATTGCTCAATAGGAATGGCAAATCGCCAGACTTCCTGCCGATTTCTCATAAGTGAATTAGAATATCTGAGAATAAGCAGCTCCACCCCTATCATGGGACTAATCCAATGGCAGCCCCACATCTGAGAGTCTTCTGGGTGTGTATGTGTGTGTGTGTGGGCAGGTCAGTACAGTAGGTTCCTGACTGCTAGTTATGTTTTATGGGGAGGATTTTTTTATGTGCTGACTTTTGTGACGTGTTCACGGAGTGAGACTCGTTTTCAGCATTTACGGTTTCTGAGACACGTGTGCAATCGAGTTGCCTTTCACTGCATGTGTCTCTTGGCAGGAATCCAGTTGTAAGAGCCACAAATAATGACTAGGTTATAGATAGTGTGGCTGCTTGAATCTACACCCACCCAGTCCTGTTCATTCACCCACTCCGGTGAAAACCAGTCACCCACAGTCCCCTGAAATGTGCTTAGTATCCGACCACAACAACAACTTGCATTTAAATAGCGCTCCTTACACAGGGTAGCGTCCCAGAGTCCTTGCCAGTGATGAAGTATGACGCCGGGGGTGGGGGGATGGCCATAGGCACAGTCGAAGAAGGTCTTCAAGCGCGACCTGAAGTTGGGGAAGGAGGAGACAAGGCAGAGAGATAGAGGAAGAGTGTTCCAGAGTTTCAGGGGGGCAAGGCTTAGTCTTGACAAGATCAAGACAATTACAATAAATATCAGATGAAGGTTCCTGAGCGGGTGGAGAGTGAAATTGAAAGTCCAATACAGACCAAACTTTACAACTGGAAAGCCCCAGGTTTGAGTTGTGCTTGCTCTGCTTCACTGATCTTATTTGACCTTACAATTGGCCCTTGGTGCCCCTGGACTGTGGAGGGGAACATTCTACGAGAGCCTTGCCTTCTTTGTAACCCAATCGTTAATCACGGGTCCTGTAAGTCCCCTCTGCTAGAGAGCGCTGTGGCGAGGACCCCCCAGCTGGGATGTGGGTGGTATCTAGTGCAGACTGGAGCAGGCAGGGACATCCCCTCAAGTCGAAGCTCATTGTCTAGGCTCATGCTTAAATAATGGCCACTTGGGCAAGGAACGGTTGAGTGAGCACCTTTGTAATTAGATTCTAATTAAGAATCAACAGCCAGAGAAGGTCAGAGAATCGAGTGGGGAAAGAGTTTGAAAATGGTAACTAACAATCGCAACACAACTCGCCCTTTGAACGGCTGAATTAAACCGCTCACTAAGCGAGGAGGTGCTGTGGTTGGGACTGGAGCAGCTCCACAATGCAAGAGCACAGAATATTGGGCTCAAACACAGAGTGGGTCTGTCATGATCCAGACTGCTGAATTATTGAGCATTTGTGATGCGTCATATGTGAGTCATCTGTGAGTGAGTGGGCAGAACTTCAGCAGCAGTCAGACCAATAACTGATCATCACACAACCGCACAGTCACTCTCACCCTTTCCCACTTTTTATGTCACTGAAAGAGCTGCGCTGGGAAATACAGTATTATTCTTGGATCCATCAGTGATCGCCGTATGTAAACAGGATCATAACCTGTCCCTGTTGCAGCGCAGTAAGACATGGCGATACTCGGTAATATGTGACAGTGTGTGGTAATACCCGGTGATTCATGTCAGCGCTGTGAGTGGCTGTGCGCAGTGCTGCTGGGAGATATGCTGTACACAAGGTAATAATAATAACACTTGTATTTGATATAACGCCTTATCACGTTGTTGAGACATCTCAAAGAGCTTTACTGAATATACTATAAAATGAATTGACTGTATATTTTGTGGGCAAAACATGGCAGCCAATTGCGCACAGCAGCGTCCCACAAACAGTCGTGGACTGAATAATGACAGATCCACAGGAATATCCGGGGAAACGGAAACCAGTCTTGAACTCTCTGGGTTTATGTTAGGAATGTTTTTATTAATTTTCTCTCAGGATGAGGCTTGATTCCTCTCTCTCTCTCTGACTGGTATCACAGCTTCCTCGTACACCCCATGACCATGTCTGAGGTGAGATTAACATGAGTGGGGTTACAGGGCAAGTGAGGGAGCAAGATAGAGGCTAAAATTATACCCTCTAAAGTTGTCAATTCTACATTTGTCTTTTCGTTTGCTCCACCACTGTCAAGCGCTGTGGGATGCTACTCTGCGTGTGGGTGTTTTGTAAATGCAAGTTGTTGTAGTTGTCAGTGAATCGAGATGAAACCTTCAGGATGGAAGGACAGGTAGCCCGTGAGAGGGAGCACAGGGTTATTCCAGCCATAGGGTCGATTCAGCCATCTGTGTCTTGGAAGGCAGGTGTTAGGACCCAGAGAAAAGCTCAGCCTGTTAGCATCCACTCACTTCCTCCCTTGTCTGGCTGTGTTTTTACCCTTGAATGATCATGGCTGCAGCATTCTCATCAAACCATGTTTGTCACTCTCTGCTTAGATGTCAGTGATAGATACTCTGCCCTCTCTCCCCTCCCCCCCTTCCAACAACAAGAACCGTCTCTGTTCCACCCACAACATGCAGCCTATACATCTCGCCCTGAACCAGCTTATTCCCGAACATTTCTCTGAAAGTTCCTGGGCTTGTTGTTGTTTGACTTGTCACGGTGAGCAAAGGGAATCCGCACAGAACATGTTAACAGCACTCCTCGGTGATTGATTGCCTTTTTTGCTAACGAAAATCGCCTCTGCCTTAATTTTGCTCCCTGTCTGACTGATCCGCATCTCTCAGCACTTCCTTGAAAGCCACGGACATTGAATAAAACTTTACTGGTGGAAATGTGACAAATAATCGCAGGCGATTTAGCTTTCCTCCATTGCTGCTGTGGCGATTCCTAATGAGGCCCAAGACTGCGCTCTCTCTCTCCCTGGGTTTGTGTACAAAGAACCATCCCACTCGCACCAGATGTTCCCACATTAGTGCTTTTGCACTTACCATTTAATAAGGTTTATTGAGGTTTGCGGGAGAAATGAGCCAGATTGTCCCTTTTTTTTCCACACACCAGCCTGCCTGTGCTTTTTGTTTCCCTGTTTTTTTTATTTCAGACACAGCTATCAGCACCCACATTGTCCTCCCTCAGCCCCATTCCTGTCAAACATTTATTTCTTTTGATTCAGTATCGACACATTGTCACTGGCGCTCCTCACTCCCCTTGAACCCATTTGTGAAAGAAATCTTACGTTGTTATTTCCCCTTCCCCCACCCCCTCCCCCCCCAAACATAGTAACGATAATAAATGGCGTAAGTTTGATTTTATTTTGTTTCTTCCGATACAGGCTCTTAAAGGGCCCTGGAGAGAGAGCCACTTGGAGCATCACTTTTATCCATAAGAATTCCTGGAATTTGTATTCCCTTTGGTGGGAACTGATTACCTTGTATGTCTCGAGTTGTAGGGAAAATATCTAAATATTTGCATCCCTCTCTTTCCTTTTTCTTTCGATCGGGTTCAGCCAGGGTTAGATTTGTGCTTTGTTTGGGTGCAGATTGTTCACATAAAGAAGATAATAACATTATAGTAATAATCATAGCATTTGATACAGCGTCTTATCACATCTTTGAGACGTCTCAAAGCGCTTCACAGAATGTATTCTAAAGTGAATTTGACTGTATATTTTGTGGGCAAAACGTGGCAGCAAATTGCGCACAGCAGCGTCCCATAAATGCTTTCGGTCAAAGAGGAAGGTCTTCAGTCGTGATCCAAAAGATTAATGCCTCGTTCTTGCCTTTGTTAACACAGTCTTTTAATTGTTCATCTAATTGTTCATCTGGGTGGTTTTAGATCTGAGGTATGGATGAGCTGTAAACAGGTTAAGTTAGGCAGTCTTATCCCAGGTTATAGCTGTTTCCTACAATAGGTTCTTGTGAGGGTGGTGCTGTAGGTTCCGCACCACACCAAAATGTTTCTGGGTTTCAAAGCTGCTGTTTCCTTTTCACCCTTTTCAGGTTGATAAAAATGAGAAACAACACAACAAATGACATATATATAGCACCGTTCACGCGGGAAGTGTCTCAAAGCCAAATCTATGTTAAAAAATATCCTGTGAGGTTAAGGTAAGTGCTCCACCTCAAAGCGCTCTGGACGCCTCCCTGCGTGAGGGGCGTTATATAAATACAAGTTGCTGTTGTTGTTGAGGTAAGTATGATTTCTGTGAGACATGAACTGTCTCTGTAACTGGAGAGGAGCCAGGCAGAGTATGAAAGTGATCCAAGGCACTTGTCGTTAGTCTGTGTGACTCATCACCACACTCGGATGTGTGGACATGTCCACCTGTGCAGGCAGGCATGTGAGTGAGCAGAAAGGCAACGCCTGGGGAGGAGGGGAGTGCGTTTGTGTTTGTCAGGAAGCCATTCCCTGGGCCAGAGTCCTGGAGAAAGCCTCTGAAGAGATGAGAATTTTTTTTACTCAGTGAGTTGTTACGTTCTGGAATGCACTGCTTGAAAGTATGGTGGAAGCAGATTAGCTAATAGCTTTCAAAAAGGAATTGGATATTTACTTGAAAAGGAAAAATGTGCAGGGCTGTGTGGTAAGAGTGGGGGAAGTGTTAAGAGCGTCCCGAAACTCTGCAACTCTCTCCCTTAATCCCTCCGCCTTGCCCCCTCCCTCCCCACATTCAAAATGCGCCTAAAGACTACTTTTTGATCGTGCTTATGGTCACCTCCTCCCTCCCTCTCCCCCTGGCTTGGTGTCAGACTCTGCCACTATCAAGTGCTCTGCGACACCACCCCTCATGAAGGGCACTGTATAAGTGTAAGTTATTGATGTAGTTGGTAGCTGTTTCAAAGATCGGCACAGGTACGATGAGCTGAATGACCTTATTCTGTGTTGTGAGATTCTATAATTCTATATAAGCAACTGTGATTTTTTTCATTCCCAGATATGGAGATCAATGATCCACTGCATTTTTCTTGTCTCTCCTCAACACCTGCTGTGGCTTCTCTCAAGTCTTCCCCTTCTCTGGAAGACAGCTTGCACACTAATGGGACCAGAATGAGCTCCACACAGCTGGGCAGAGGTAAGGACATAGAGAAAGGGGGAAGGAAGGAGAGAGAACGGGAGATAGAGAAGGCCAGAGAGAGAGAAAGAGAGAGAGGGAAGGCCAGAGAGAGAAAGGCAGAGGGAAGGAGAGAGGGAGGAAAGGAGAGAGCGGGGGAAAGAGAGAGGCAGAGGGAAGGAGAGAGGCAGAGGGAAGGAGAGAGGCAGAGGGAAGGAGAGAGGAAGGAGAGAGAAAGAGAGGCAGAGGGAGGGAGAGAGAGAGAGAAAACTAGAGAGAGAGGTAGACGGAAGGACGGAGAGAGGTAGAGCTCTGTGCTGCACAACAGCACCAGTTATTTGTGATTGATCAGGAAGGAACGAGCAACTACAGAATGTTGTAAAGCCCAGGGGAAGCGGACTTGCATTGCCTTCATTGACTTCCATAATGCTTTTGACCTCGTGCCTCAGGAATCCCTCGTGTGGGAGCTGGAAATCATGGGAGCAGTGGTGGGATTGGCTATACGGGAATTGAGGAAATTTCCAGAGCCCTCTGTGATTGAATTTGTGATTGGTCTCCCCCCCCCCCCCCCATCCCGTGGTTGGCTCCCAAACTCCCCCCTGTGAATGGCTCCCGAGCTCCCCACACACAAATCGGTGCCTTTATTTAACATCACATTCCTGAGCTGTTTCAGGAGTCACGTCGCGGTTGTGTGCAGTTCAAATTCCAGCTCCCAGGTCTGTGCTGGAGACTCATAAAGCCTGACTGGCTGCCCCTCACCTGAGTGAGCACAAATACACAGACGTTATTCTGGTCATTATTGCTGCTGGATATTGTAAAGAGTTGGTTAGACGCCAGCAGTTACCCCAATGCATGCTCTGGGCTCCCCCAAGTCTTGGCTCTTGCCAATCTGCGCCTAATACTTTCCGGAATTAGGTAAGCAGGATGTGTCCCTCCAGGGAGAGAGAGAAAGAGAGAGGGCATGTTCCATTCCAACAATCTATTTCTGGGATTTCCATGTGTATGTGGGATCATGGAATTCTCAGTTTGGTTTGGAGACTCTTAAGCCTGGTGATGGGTTTCCGTGTGTGCCAGACGATCCGCTGGCCCCCAAAAAAAGATATTGTGAAAAGATTGTTGTGATGATACACAGAACAATACCTTGCTCCTCACACACTGTCTGTCTGCCGTTCATTCTCTCTGTTGTCACTAGTCATCAATGGTGAGCTGAACATGAACGGAATAACACTGGACCAGGGGGCCAGTACGTCAGAGGCCTTTGCTCCAACAGCACCTTCCCCCGAGCCTAGAGACTCCAACCCCAACTCCATGAGTGGCTATGACTTCTTCTGGGATTGTGGACAGTACCAGCCAACAGACCTGGAAAAACTCAAGGAAAAACTCATGTTGTCTCAGCTTGCTTCTCAAGGACAAGGACAAGGGCAGCACCAATCCAATGGTGTGTTCGAAGCCGGTATTAAGGACATCTCCATCGATCATAGTGCAATGTCCAAAAGCCCCAAACTATGTGATGAGAGGACTCAGGGCTCCACTAGCCTGGAGTTCGATCCCTACGGCTTATGTTCGCAAAAGACTCATTTTGATATGGTTCACGAAACCTCGTCGTTCTCCCCGAACCAGGAGTTCAGCAGGACTATTTCGGAGGAGGTTCAAGCTTTCACCTATCCGTACGAGCACTGTGTGTCGCAGCCTGACATGGTGGACCTGGAAGACGCCGATCTGCAGCTGTTCTGCGGCAAAGATTACGACGACGTTGTGGACGTGGGTGATAAAGGTTTGTAAAGAGATTAAGATAAAGCACTCCGGCCTGCTCCATGTCCCCCGCCGGCCCTCTCTTCCATCGATGGTCAGGCCTTCAGCCTCTCTGCCCCCACCCTTTGGAACTCCATACCACAGTCCCTTCGCCTCACCCCCTCCCTTGCCTCCGTCAAGCCACACCTTAAGACCCTCCTCTTCGACCTGGCCTTTGCCCACCCACCCTCCCCGTCCTTCACCCCTCTCGATCCCAACCCCCAGCTCGGGTACAAATTGCTGACTGTCCAGTACCTTGGGACATCCTTCCGAGGTGAAAGGCGCTGTTAACTGTCATTTGTTGTTGGTGGTGGAGATACTGAAACAGCTAGATCAGGAGTTTCGGGTGTGACCCTTCATCACAGTGAATCACAGAAAAGTTGATATATGTTTCAGCCTTTTGATACACACCCAACCGTCTTCCCATTACACAATCAAGTTTCTTAAATGGTTGCAGTGTCATGGTCGTTACCTTGTCACCACTCCACCTCTTGATTACTCTATATAAAGAAATACTTCCTGGTATCTGACCTAAACTTGCCCTTCACAACCCTGACAACCCTGACGGAACTAGTGAACCCTTATCGTGCTACTGTGGTATATTGTTCTAAGTTTGCTTTCAAATGCAAGGAATATTATTATTATATTTTTAATCCGCTCTCCTCCCAGAGGAGCTAATGTTTGAGCCAATGAATTGGACGAATGCTAAATGCCGCACTGCTCCTCGAGGTTTTCAACGACGACAACAATAATAAAATTATATTTCTAAAGCGCCTTTCACATCAGGAGGATGTCCCAAGGCGCTGAACAGTCAGGGATTAGTACCCAAGCGTGGGGTGCAGGGTGGGATGAGGGAGGGCAAAGTGGTAGGAGGGCGGCTGAAGACACGGTCAAAAAGGAGGGTCTTGAGTCGTGTCTTGAAGGAGGCGAGCGAGGGAGCAAGGCAAAGAGATTGCGGGGGAAGAGAGGCTGAAAACTTGGCTGCTGATGGTAGGGCGGGTCGGGTGGGAGATCTGGAGCTGGCCGGAGCTTGCTGAAGGGAGGGAGCGGACAGGTTGATAGACAGTCAGCAGGTCAGAGATGTAGGAGGGAGCAAGGCCGTGGCGGGCCTTGAAAGTGAGGACGAGGATTTTGATTATTGTTGCATTTTTTCTTGAGGGATTATTATCAGGCGTGTGGAGTAAGAAAACTTATCCAACATTTCATCCTGCCGGGAATCAAACCCAGGTCTCTCACTTGTGAGGCGAGCACTCTTAACCACTGAGCTACAGGACTCCGGGAATGTTACGGAAGTGGGGGAAGGCAGAGCGGGTCATGCACGGATATGAGGGAGAAATGACAGTTGAGGGTCAACCAAGACGCCCAGGTTCCTGACTGGCTGGTGAGGTGGAGTGTGCAACCGTGCAATCGAGGGTGGAAGCAGAGAGAATGAGTTGGGTGTCATCCGCATACATATGAATTGACCCCATGTCTGCGGATGTTGTCACCAAGGGGGAGCATATAGAGGTCGAAGTGGAGGGGACCGAGGACAGAGGCTTGAGGAACGCCGCACGAGACTGTGCAGGAGCTGGAAGAGAAACCATTGGCGGAGGTAAATTGGAGGTAGTGTGAGAGATAAGACCTGAGCCATTCAAGGAGAGAACCTTGAAGGTTGAGGTGAGAGGAGAGGCGGTGGAGGAAGGTGGAGTGGCCCACGGTATCAAAGGCAGCAGAGCGGTCGAGGAGGACGAGGAGGCAGAGGGAGCCCTGTTCACAGATGGACCAAATGTCGTTTGTCACCTTGACCAGAACAGTTTGAAACCCAGTTGGAGAGGCTCGTGAAAGGAGTGGTAGGAGAGGAATGAGCGAAAGCTGGGAAGCAATGACTCTTTCGGGGACCTTGGAAAGAAAAAGGAGGTTGGAGATGTGCCGGTAGTTAGAAGGCAGGGATGGGGCCAGGGGAGGTTTTTTCAGGATGGGGGTGATTGTAGCTATTTTTAGGGAGATGGGAACGGTGCCAGATGATAGGGAGAGATTGATGGTGTTGGAGAGTAGAGGGACGAGGAGGTGGAGCTGGGAGGTAAGGAGAGGGGTGGGGATGGGGTCAAGGGAGCAGATGGAGTGTTTCATGCTGGATATGGTGGTGATGAGAGAGGAGGGGGAGACAGGTTTGGAAATATGGAGAGAGGGATCGGTAGGGGTCAGAGTGTGGGGGGGAGATGGGCAGGGAGATAAACGGATTCCTTCGATTTTGGACTCAAAGAAATCCAGCATCTCCTCACAGTCAGAGTTTTCACAAGCACTCTGGGACGCTAGCCTGTGTGAGGGCGCTATATGGTTGTTGTTCTGACTACTATCTTCCGGGCTTTCAGTCCAGAGGAATGCCCCCCCCTTCACCCACCTCCAGTACCGTGGGTCTCACTGTGGAGGTAAGCGCTCTGGAACTCTACCCGGCGTGAGGGAGAACTATTGTTATTGTTGTTGATTGGGTAATGGATGTTAGGGTCTTGGTCTGTGTGAAAGCAGAGAAGGTGTTTCCTCAGGAAACCCGCACAGCCAACAAGGGGCTCTCGTGTCATTCTCAACAGCTTTTCTCAGTGTGAGATGAGGCTGCGGTGTGGTGTACCACAGGAAGGAAACAGTGCCCTTTGCAATCACGGAGGCTGCTCCCTCTTCCCCCCCTCCCCAGCGCCTTTCCTTTTTTTTATCTCCTGGTTGAGAAATGGATGGTTCGTTCCTGTTGCCCTGCGCGGCACAGAGCGGCAAGACTGAGCCCTGATTGACCAGGAAATGTCTCCATTGGATGTGGACCTACTTTCCAAAAAGGCCTTCAGCCAGTCTTGTCGCATTAGTTACCAGCAGCTGCTCAACCAAGTCACACAGACAGCAGGGAATGGTCTGAGATCCCCTACAGTGCAAAGCACACAGTGCTAGGCAGTATGTGGAAGCTCGGATGGATAGAGATGGAAAAGAGGTCTGGGCTATACAATACAAAATGACATTTGTACAACTCCTTTCATGTCAGGAGGACTTCCCAAGGCACTGAGCTAGGGCAGGGCTCCCGCTTCTGATTGTTATCCAGGGACCCACGTGTGCGTGTGTGTCTGTGGGTGTGTACAATAATAATAATCCTTGGATTTGATACAGTGCCTTATCACATCATCAAGACATCTCAAAGCGTTTCACAGAATATACTGTAAAATGAATTGATTGTATATTCTGTGGCCGAAACGCGGCAGTCAATTGTGCACAGCAGCGTCCCACAAACAATCCTGGATTGAGGGACCAAATATTTTTACTTATTTATTTTTTGGAGGTAATTATTACTCCTGGAAAGGGATCTTCCAATTGACTAGCAAACAGGTTCCTACTTACTGCGAGGTAAAACAGAGGCATGTGGAGTAAGGAAACTTGCTTAAGGTTTCGTCTTGCCTGGGAATTTTACTTGCAAGCTGAGCGTTCTAACCACTAAGCTACCGGGCTCCACAATATACTATAACACATGTAAACACTGAGCAATTGTATTATTTTCAGAAACCACACATGCTTTGGATGGCGAAATAAACGGATGTGTGGAGTCAAAGATGGAGGAGCTGAAAATGGCTTCAAACCCGGATCTATCCAGCCACCCACTCTTCACGTATGACACTGTCCAATGTCTGGAGAACTCCGTGACCTTCAACATTCCCGACAAGGAATCTCCCCGGGATTCAGCCTCGGTGTTAATGATGCCCTTTTCCTCGGCCTCTGTCATAGGTAATCACACAGATGATACAGTTCAAGATCCTGGTCCTCACCTTCAAAGCCCTCCATGGCATTGCTCCTCCCTACCTTTGCGACCTCCTTAGCCATTACCTACCTTCACTCAGCAGGCTCCGGCCTGATTCACGTCCCCCGCCTCACCCACCCACCATTGGCAGTTGGGCCTTCTGCCCCCACCCTCTGGAGCTCCATTCCGCCTCGCCCCTCCCTTGCCTCCTTCAAGACCCGTGTCAAGATCTTCCTCTTCAACTGTGCCTTCGATCACCCTCCCCGATCCTGACCCCTAGCTCGGGTCCAAAACACTGATTGTCCAGCGACTTGGGACGTCCTCCCGACGTGAAAGGCGCTATACGCATGTAATGTTGTTGTTGTTGTAATCAGCGAAGCCCTGAGCCTAGCAACGTGGCTGACTCCAAATATTGCTGCCTTCAGTATCGATTGTGTGTGGGCAGAATCCATAATCACATGACTCCTCACACTTTGCTGAATGTGTTTCCTTCTCACACAGAACCTTCCACAAGCTTTCACACTGTTACTTCTGTTATAGCAAGTGCCAATTTCATCTGCCCGCCGCCTCCCCCCACCCCCCTCCATTTCACCAGGCCCACCCGCTCCCTCCTTAGCCCGTAAATGTTGTGTTATGTTTCTGGAAGGAAAACACAAACATATTGTTTATGTGGTCCACGGACATTTCTCAAATAGGGCATCCAGCCCTCAGCAGTCAAAAGATTGGAAAATGGGGCTGTGTGTGCGTGCGTGTGCACATGCGCGCGGAGGGGATTCACGTGCGTTGTGCCTTTGAGAGGTTTGTTACTTTATCCTGGTGAGAGCAGTGGGATTTCTGGAGTTCTCAACCACGGCAGAAGTTTCGGCTATAACAGTCCTTATAGCACCCCTGGGTTAGTGGGCAAGCTCTCCAGACTTCTGTGTGTGTACTAACCTGTTCACCTATTCATGTACTCCCAGCGCTGCATTGGAGTGTCAGTTTAGACTATGCCTTAGCAGTAAGTAGGAACCTCATTGTTAGTCGATTGGCGGATCAGGGATAATAACCTCTTCAAATAATAAATAAGTAAATAATTTGGTCACTCAATCCATGACAGTTTGTGGGACACTTTACAATATATTCTGTGAAGCACTTTGAGACGTCTTAACGACAGCATCTTTCATTTATACATAGCACCTTTCTTACAGGAGAGCTTGAGTGTAGAAGTGAAAACAGTGTTAGTATTGTAACCCATACACTACATGGTGGGACGTGTGTAATGATTTGCCTCTCCATGTTGCTTTCCTGCATTATGGGTCCACCACACTCGTAGTCATAGACAAGCAAAGGAGTGGTCCTTCAGAGAGAGAGATGGCAGGAGAGAGGGAGGAGAAGAGAGAGGAAGGGAAAGGGGAGAGAGGGGAGAGAAAAGAGATAAGAGGATAGAGAGGAAGCACTGGGGGAGGCAGAAAGAAAGAGAGGGGGGACAGAGAAAAAGAGGGGGAAGGGAGTGAGAGATAGTTATCCTAACAGACAGTGGTGGGTAAACTCAAGACCACATCAGTAGACACAGGTTTATGCAGGTGTTGCTGCCTCCATCACTTCTTAATGCTGTAACATGAAACGTTCTTCAATACTCTTTCCAGAGTCTGGTAGTGAGTGTGAGAGTGAAAGCACTGATTGTGACGAGAGGGAACTGGAAGCATGTGGAGAGCAGGGCACTGCTGTCCCCGGGAACCAAGGAAATGCCGACCACAGCCCCGGGAATACCGACCACAGCCACGGGAATACCGACCACAGCCACGGGAATACTGACCAAAGCCCCGGGAATACCGACCACAGCCCCGGGAATACCAACTACAGCCCCGAGAACACATCACCTTTCAAGATCCCTGATCCCACAGGTCAGTGTGAAGCGCTCCGGGACGCTACGCCGCATGAAGGGTGCTATCTAAATGCAAGTTGTTGTCTCGCTCTCATGTCTCATGTATCAATGTCCAAAACTCTTTTGTTTCAGTGTGCAGCCAGTTCCAACATGTTTTCTAACTCTCTTCGTTTCACCCACAAAATACACAGTCACTCCACTTTACAGTATATTCTGCGAAGCGCTTTGAGACACTTCAACGACATGAGGCGCTATATCAAATGCAAGAATTATTATTATTATTTTCTCCTTATGTGCAGAGTCCACTGACGAGTTGGAGAGTGAAACAGGCAACTGTCCCGAGGGAGAGGAAATGAGAATGTCGCAGCGGCAGCCTGTGTCTGCGCTCACTCCCCCTCGGCAAAGCTCGGCTCTGTGCAAATCTTCACGAGCTGAACCTCAGACCCCGGCCTCTCCTCTGATCACACCAAACACCACACCCTCTCCTCGAGCAGGTAATCCTTGCTCAACAGGGCCATGATTTTATTGGATAATAGTTTTATTTTATTAGTTTCTCCAGTGCCTCGCTACTTAAAACGTGTGACTCTGTTGCCTCGGATGTTGCCCAGTAAACCATTAATAGTTATTAGTAATTAATACTGATTCATATTTATTATTATTAACTAATAACCTACACCTGGTTCGGCATCGTGGGATGTGTGAGGCTGACAGGAGCTGTTTGTATTCCCATTGCAGAGTCCTGCAGCTCAGGCCCTGACACTGCTGAGGGTGACGAGACTGATGTCAAATCTCTTTCCAACCTGGTCATGTCCTCCCTGTCGCTGTCTGATGGCGACATCGGTGGCTGTGAGGGTGGGGAGGTTCCGATCCCTTCTTCAAACCCCCTCAAAACTTCCGTGAAAAGTCAGAAGAAGGCGAAAAAATGTGACCTCATCCCTGACACAACTCCCACCCCTTCGTTCTCCACCCCCGGTAAGCTCTCTCCAAAACTCCTCTTCTGGTCTTAGAGAAGAACCTGCTGAACTTGTCATATTGGGGGATTCCAAAGTCACTGGGAACACGCAGTAGATCAGGCAGCATCTATGTCGATCTGAAATGTTAACTCACTTTCCTCTCTTCCTAGATGTTGCCTGACCTGCTGAAAGGTCACCGACCTAAAACGTTAACTCACTTTACTCTCTCCATAGATGCTGCCTGACCTACTGCGTGTTCCCAGCTACTTCTGTTTTTATCTGATATAGCGCCTTATTGCGTCTAGAAGACGTGATAGGGCACTATATCAAATGCAAGGATTATTACTATTTCAGATTTCCAGCATCTGTAGTATTTTGCCTTTTTTTTCTGTATAAACTCCAATGGTCAGCAAGTATAATAATAATCCTTGCATTTGATATAGCGCTTTTCACGTCGGGAGGATGTCCCAAAGCGCTTCAAAGAACACACTGTAAAGTGAATTGACTGTATATTTGTGGGCGAACGCGGCAGCCAATTGCGCACAGCAATGTCCCACAAACAGTCGTAGATTGAAAATGACCAATTTTTATTATTGTTTTGTTTTTTGGAGGGATTATTATTAGACTCTGTGTGGAGTAAGGAAACTTGCCCGAGGTTTCGCCCTCTGCCTGGAATTGAACTCAGGTCTCTCACTTGCAAAGCGAATGCTCTAACCACTGAGCTACAGGACTCCACAATTCAGGGAGAAGCAGACCTTTACAGAGCAGATGAGACCTAAGTTCAGTCACTGCTGGCACTTGTGCGAAGTTAGCTGATCTCGATACCCCAAAGGTTGAAAAGAGTAATGATACAATCTTACAGCACAGAAGGAGGCCATTCGGCCCATCGTGCCTGTGCCGGCTCTTTGAAAGAGTTACCAACTAGTCCCACTCCCTGCTCTTCAACAACAACAACAACAACTACAACTTGGATTTATATAGCGCCCTCCATGCTGGATGGTGTCTCAGACGCTTACACCATAGCCCTGCAAATATTTCCTTTCAAGTACCTATCTAATTCCCTTTTGAAAGCTTCTATCGAATCTGCTTCCACCTCCCTTTCAGTTAGTGCATTCCAAACCGTAAAACTCTCTGAATCTCCTCGTCTCTCCTCTGGTTCTTTTGCCAATTATCTTAACTCTGTGTCCTCTGGTTACTAACCCACCCGCCAGAGGAAACAGTTTATCCTTGTCTGCTCTATCAAAATCCCTCATCATTTTAAACACCTCTATTAAATCTCCCTTCAACCTTCTCTGCTTTAAGGGGATCAATCCATGGTAGTGGTAAGGTGACGCCAAGACAGCTAGTAAGCGGGAAGGAAGCCTGAAGCTGGTAAGGCGTTCTGCAGTGTTGAGGCCCTGAAATAGAATGAGGAGTTTGATCAGGAGATGATGCAGTTGAGTTTTTATTTCAGCACAGTGGCTATCCACGGACAGGAAGAACATGTGTAAGTCAGCACGCTGTAAGTTGAAGTGAAATGTCCTTGTTTCTCCTCCCCTCAGGTGATTACACGCGGAGAAGAGTGACGGACGAGAGAGAGCTGCGGATTCCGCTGGAATATGGGTAATTAGCTGTGCTATGTGACGTTGTCATGGGCAGAGGAGGTACAGGCAGCGAGCGCTGAGAGCTAATAACCTTCAGCATTGGGAGGTTTTGTCATGGTGTAGATCTGTAAGAAGTGGTTTAATATTACTATTTACCAATAGTCCCTTGGAAACGTACCCACATAGGTGGACCTTCAGTGAGTTTGGTTCGGATACTCGTAAGCATTACATGTTTCCCCACCCGCCTCTGTCTTCCACCTCTCCTGATCCCAACCCCTTGCTCAGGTCTAAATCCCTGACTGTCCAGCGCCTTGGGACATCCTCCCGCCGTGTAAATGTAATTTGTTGTTGTTTGTGTTTCTCAGATGGCGACGTGAGATTAGAATAAGAAGGGTCGGGAGCCACCTTCAGGGTGAGACCATCTACTACGCCCCCTGTGGGAAGAGATTACGTCAATTCCCTGAAGTTATAAAGGTAATTAATTGATTACTGCAACAAAACTGTGGAATGATATAAAACCGGGAAGATAGGTTTGTAAATGTTTCGGCTGTGTTTCTGTTTATTTGCAGCTTTTTTTCTTGCAATTTTCTCCTCTCTCTTCCCCCTCCCCCCCCAGCTCTGTAACCAATTTATTAGTCTAATAAATTATTTATTAGTCTAATCGGTTGTTAGTTGATTGGCAGGTCTCTTTCTGGAGGTAATAATCATTGCCCCCCCAAAAATTGGTTGTTCGTTCCAAGTTGATGGAACGCTGCTGCGTTTTGCCCACAAAATATACAGTCAATTCACTTTATAGTATATCCTGTGAAGCGCTTTGAGATGTCTCAATGACGTGATTAGATGCTGTATAAAATGTGACGATTATTAGTTATATTCTGCATGGAATGGGATCTTCCACAGTGTTTTCTTTCATCAGCACAATGAAGTCTCTGCTAATGTGGATAATGGGTTCACTCCTGTCTGACTTTTTTTGTCTTTCAGTACTTGACCCGGAATGCAGTGACAGAGGTGGGCAGGGAGCATTTCAGCTTCAGTCCTAGGATGAATGTGGGAGATTTCTTCGAAGAGCAGGAGTCTGCTGAGGTTCGTGCACGATTTGTCTCCAGAAGCCAATTTCTTTGTTTGGTTTCCTTCAGCCTCCAGCTAGTCTCCTTGTTTCCGTTTTCCTGATTTAGGAACATAGGAACAGGAGGAGGCCATTCAGCCCTTCGAGCCTGTTCTGCCATTTAATTAGATCATGGCTGATCTGTAATTCAACTAATTCTTTCAGTTCCGCTTTCTCACCACATCCCTTAATGCCCTGACCTACCAAACATTTATCATACTAACTCTTAAAGGCGTGGAGCCATCATCCACGGCCTTTTGGGGGAAAAAATTCTAGATTTCTACCACCCTTTGAGTGATAAAATGCTTCCTGATTTCACTTTTAAATGGCCTGATTCTAATTTTAATTCTATGCTCCTTGTTTTCAATTCCCCCACCAGAGGAAATAGCTTCTCTGTATCTATCCTATCAAATCCCTTTATCATCTTAAACACCTCAATCAAATCACCCCTCAACCTTCTAAACTCAAGGGAATACAATCCAAGTTTATGTAGCCTTCCTTGTCACTTAACCCTTCTGATAACATTCTGGTGAATAAAGAGTGGAGTCCTGTAGCTCAGTGGTCAGAGTACTCGCCTCGCAAGCAAGAGACCTGAGTCCGATTCCTGGGCAGGGTGAAACCTTGGGCAAGTTTCCTTACTCCACACACCTGTTTACCTAAGGAAGTAGGAATCCGGTTGTTAGTCGATTGGCAGATCGCTTTCCGGGGGTAATAATAATCCCTTCAGAATTTTTTTTAAAAAAAGTTGGATTACTCAATCCATGACTATTTGTGGGACGCTGCTGTGTGCAATTGGCTGCCGAGTTTCGCCCACAAAATACAGTCAATTCACTTTACAGTATATTCTGTGAAGCGCTTTGAGATGTATTGAAGACTTGATATGGCGCTATATTAAATGCGAGGAATATTATTATAACGAAGTTCAGCAATCGAGACTCAATCCTTACATTGTCAAGTTACTTTAAATGGTAAAATAACATCTAATAATAACTAGAGAATTCACTGGGACAGATCTCTGGTAATTTTCACAGTAAGTGCCCAGCTTACACATTGAGCTATTGGCTCACAAGGCTGATGATAAGTCTAGACCTTGAAGTCTTTATTGACAAGGCAGCCAGACTGGTAAGCAGTGCCGTGGAACATGGCGTGGTCTTTTCAGCCATGTCTCCTCGGAGCCAGTTTAACCCCAGGGAGACCCTGCTTGCCTCAGCCTTTTTTCAGCCTTATTTCATTGACGTCAACATAATTACCCCTGGGTTTGTGTGAGGGTTTGTGCTGGGGAGTGCAGTCTTGTAGAGTCTGCGCCGGGTGTGGGTCATTGCTGGTGCCCTCCCTCCCCCTCCCCTACGCTGGATAACCTGCCAACTTTCCCTATCTCACACGGGAATAATGCCTAACTGCGGACAAGTAACAGAGGGTTCCCAGAGCTCAGGAAAACCGTACCCTACCAGAGAGAAGGAATCGAGTCCCATTGGCAGAGAAATTTAGTGGCAAAAATACTCTCCCTCGTACTAGTGTCATGCCGCTGTTTTCTTCCATGGATGTAAAGCAGGGCTTCCTGTTTTGTGTTCCTCATCTTTGCCATCAAAGCCCTTGCTCTTCCATACCTCTGTGACCTGCTACTCCATACCGACCTGTCTGCTCCCTCCTCTAAACAAGCTCTGTTGCTTGTTCCACGTTCCCCGCCTGGCCCGCCCCACCATCGGTGGTCGGGCCTTCAGCTTCGCACTTTCGCCTCCCTCTCCATCCCACAGTCCCTTTGCCTTACCTACTCCATTGCCTCCTTCAAGACCCTTCTCAAGACCACGCCTTTGGTCACCCTCCTACCCCCACCCTCCCTTCCCTCCTGATCCCAACCCCCAGCTCGGGTCCAAATCCCTGACTGTCCAGCGCCTTGGGACGTCCTCCTGACGTGAAAGGCGCCATGTAAATGTAATGTGTTGTTGTTGGTTTAGGAGGAGCAGTGGCAGAAGGTGAGCCCGGATGATGTCCCGTTACGTATTAAAGCCATGATGCGTCGGCGCGGGCGACCCCCAAACCCTGACAAGCTGAAGGCCTGCGAGCAGCCAAGGGTCAGCAGGGGCAAAGGGCGTCCCCCCAAGGCCACCAGGGTCACCTTGCTCAGCAAGGCGGATGCCAAGCTCATGAAAACGATTGAATTGCAAGGTATCATCTCACTGCTTTAATCACACCATCTCCTCACATTCCCCCCACATACTGCTCTCTGCAGCCACAGGAAAAGGTGACCAATTTATATTGTGTTTCAGACACTCACATACTCACACACACCCTGACTCACTAACGTGGACTCCCAATTGCTAACCAGCTGGCCCTTGGCAAACACTATAACTGGTGATCATTGAGATGCTCCTTCAGGTTTTCCTTCAGCGAGTCCTGGGTGTTCTTGTCCAGTCAGACACATTAAACACTGGACCTAGTGTGAATTCCAGGCCAGGCTGACATCTCTCCTTATCAGCTGCTGATGGGAGTCACTGTCATTGGCAGCAGAGGACAGATTCCCATACATGTTCCCATACAATACAGCAGTGTCTTTCCAATCCACTGGGTGGGGGGAACATCTGACAGTGCTGGCTGGGCACCCATAATATGAGAATTTGCAAAGCGAAAGAAGTCCAATGTCCATCCAGTTCGCCTTCCACCATCCTGGCAGTCGCATGACATGTGTCCCCTAGATATATACTGAATCCCCAGATGTTATCCCCCAACAGAAATCTTATCTAATTTGTTCTTGAAAGAATCAACACTTTCTGCTACCACCATCTGTCTGTCTCCCTGGGGAACCTGTTCCAAACATTTACTACTCACTCACTGAAGTAGCGTTTCCACAGAAAAAAAATGGGAAAAAGTTATCAGTGAGAGCAGTTAGCATGGGTAGTGAAGTGGGACAGTTAGCATGGGTAGTGAAGAGCTGTAGTTTAGTGGAGTCATGGTTAGAGCGAGCGAGAGACCTAGGTTTGATTCCTGGGTCAGGGTGAATCCTTAGTCAAGTTTCCTTACTCCACACACATGCCTCTGTTTACCTAGCAGTATGTAGGTACCCGGTTGTTAGTCGATTGGCGGAACGTTTTCTAGGACTAATAATCCCTTCCAAAAAGAATAATAATAATAAATTGGTTATTCAATCCACGCCTGTTTGTGGGACGCTGCTGTATGCAATTGGCTGCCGGGTTTCGCCCACAAAATATACAGTTAATTCACTTTACAGTATATCCTGTGAAGAGCTTTGAGACATCTCAAAGACGTGATAAGGCGCTGTATCAAATGCAAGGATTGTTATTATTACTATTTGTTCTGAATTTACCCCCCTTCAATCGCAGGCTGTGAGGTGGAGGTAGGAGACGAGGGGGTGTAGGTGCGGTTGTGTGTGTCTCTGGCTCAGTCAGGGACAATTCTAGTTGAAAGCGCTGCGATTATTAATCTGATCCAATGTTGTGACTCTACTTTTAGCTGTTCTGAACGACAAAGAGAAGCAGAAACTGAAAGCCTTGATGAATAAACTGAAACAAAAGGTAATGTGGCAATGTCAGACTCCGCCACTGTTAAGTGTGAAGGGCGTTATATAAATACAAATTGTTGTTTTTTGATTGTTCTTGTGGCAGTGCAGTCACATCAGCCCAGGCACTGCTGGTAGGTGGCCAGATTGGCAAGCTTGCAACCCAATGTCCCATTCAACAACAAAAATTATATTTACACAGCGTTTTTCACGTCGGGAGGATGTCCCAAGGACAGTCAGGGCATTGCACCTGAGCTGGGGGCTGGGATTAGAAGGGGGGGAGGGAGGGTAGGGGTAGGAGGGTGACCGAAGGCACGGTCGAAGAGGAGTGTCTTGAGATGTGCCTTGAAGGAGGCGAGGGACTGTGGGATGGCGTTCCAGAAAGTGGAAGCATAGAGGCTGAAGGCGCGACCGCCAAAGACAGTGAGAGCCGGGCAGGGGATATGGAACAGGATGGATCCCCAGATATTATACACGGAGCGAACACGTGGTGTTAGCAGATCATAAAGGTAGGAAAGAGCAAGGCCGTGGAAGGCTTTGAAGGAGAGGATGAGGATTTTGTACCCTATTCTCTAGGGGATGGGGAGCCAGGGTGGATGTGATGGGGTCACGGAGTCTGGTGCGGGGAGAGGACACAAGCTGCAGAGTTCTGGATGACTTGCAGCTTGTGGAGGGAAGAGTTGGAAAGGCTGAGAAGCAGGGAGACAGAACACTAATGGTGGTCTGAGCCGAACAGAACACGGAAACTGGGTTCAGACATGACTTTTTAAGTTTCTTTTCCCCTCTTTACAGCGGAACCACAGGAAACCAATCCACAGAAGAAACCACCCAAAGAGCAGAGAGTGAAAAGCAAACGGAAGGAAAAGCAAGTGAGCTGGCGGGGGCAGCGAGTGAGGCAGAAACAGCAGGCGGCACAGCTGGCAGAGCACATCAAGAAACCGACGGAGGATATGTACCTGAGCAACCAGAAGGTGTGTCACTGAGCCTGTCCCGACACCTCCTGCCTCCCTCGTACACACACACTCCCACACACAGACCCAGACCTCCTGCCTCCCTCACACATACAGACCTGCTGCTTCCTTTACACACATAGACACTGAGACTTTTTGCCTCCCTCCCTCACACACACACACATACCTTTGCCCCCCTCAGTCACAGACATTGAGATCTCCTGCCTCCCTCACACATACACAGTCACTGAGGCCTCCTGACTCCCTCACTCACACACACAGACATTGAGATCACCTGCACAGTCACTGAGACGTCTCAAAGCGCTTCACAGAATATACTGTAAAGTGAATTGACTATATTTTGTGGGTGAAACACGGGTGCACAGCAGTGTCCCACAAATAGTCGTGGATTGGGTGACCACATTTTTTTTAAACAAAGATTATTACCCCTGGACAAGAAATCTGCCAATCGACCAACAATCGGGTTCCTACTTGCTACAAGATAAACAGAGGTGTGTGGAGTAAGGAAACTTACCTAAAGTTTTGCCCTGCCGGGGAATCAAACCCGGGTCCTATCCCTCCCAAGGCGAGTGCTCTAACCACTGAGCTACAGGACTCCCATGCTTGATATATTCAGTTGGCTCTGACTGGAATGGTACTGACTGGGGAGAGGGGAGCGAATGCGATGTATTAAAAACTCTGTTTTGCCCTTCACACAGCCCCTGCCGGAGTTTGGCCCGATCCCAGGTTTGGTGCTTTCTGGCCCGGCCTTTGCCGACTGTCTGATTGTCACCGAGTTTCTGCATAACTACGGCAAAGTGCTGGGTTTCGACAGTAGCCGGGAGGTGCCCACCCTGAACCGGCTGCAGGAAGGGCTGCTCAACGTGGGGGACAGTCTGGGCCTAGTGCAGGATCTGCTGGTCCGCCTGCTCCAGATTGCCGTGGCTGACCCAGGGCTGTCCTTGGAAGGCCAGGTACATAATCCCAACTCCTCCTGACACTATATTATACATAACTGAATCCAGCTCTACCACCGGACACAGGCTTAGAAATACGACAAATGACAGTTATACGGCGCCTTTCACTTCGGGAGGACATCCCAAGGCACTGGACAGGCAGGGATTTGGACCCGAGCTGGGGGTTGGGATCAAGGGGGATGGAGGGCGGGGAAGGTGAGGGTAGGATGACCAAAGGCGATCGAAGATCAAGGTCTGGAGATGGGCTTTGAAGGAGGCAAATGAGGGAGTCAGGTGGAGGGTCTGCGGGATGGAGTTCCAAAGGGTGGGGGCAGAGAGGCTGAAGGCCCGACCGCCGATGGTGGGGCAGGCTGGACGGAGGATGTGGACCAGGCCGCAGACTGCTGAGTGGAAGGAGCAGACAGGTCGATATGGAGTTACCAGGTAATAGAGGAGCAAGGCTGTGGAGGGCTTTGAAGGTGAAGACGAGAATTTTGAATTCTATCCTCTGGGGGATTTATATCGCACTCTTCATGCAGGGCAGAGTCTCGGAGCGCTTAACATGGCGGAGCCTGATACTGAGCTGGGGGGAAGGAGGACGTGAAGGTCTTCATTCGTGATCTAAAAGGCAGAGGGATTGGGAGACAGATTTCTAAAGCTTCAGGGAGTAGTGTCTATAAGTCGCTTGACATATCGTGTCCCACACTATATACTGTATCCCGAGATATTATTTTGTAGCAGAAATCTATCTAATTTGTTCTTGAAAGAAACAACATTTTCTGCTTCCACCCTCGGGAGCCCATTCCATAAATTTACTTCTTGCGCACTGAAATGGTGTTTCCGCATATAATTGTATAATTATATAATTGTATAATTATTAAATTAAAAATCTAATTGTAACAGAGAGCTTGGTCTAACCCGGACACAGAGGCTGTTCGCACAAACAGCTAATCAAACCTTCCCTTTTTTTTGCTTTTGCAGTCCGTAACGATTCTTGGGAAGCCACTGTGTGACATCGGGATTAACAGGGATAACGTATCAGAAGTTCTGAGGGTTTTCCTGGAGGCTTCTGACATGGACAGAGAATTCTGCCAAAGTCTCAAAGTCAAGTCATTCCATGCTCATCCTGCGGGGAAGAAGGCATCGGTGCTGGCTTTCCTGGTCAACGAGCTCCTGGGAAGCAACACGGTCATCAGGTAAGGTGTAAACAACAACAACACAGCGCCTTTCATGCAGGGCAACGTCTAAGAGTGCTGAATAGTGGCAGAACCTGATGCCGAGCCAAGGGTAGTGAGGAGGTGACTGTAAGCATGGTCGAAGAGGAAGGTCTTCAGGCGTGATCTAACAGACTGGAAGGTAAGCGCAAGGCGGAGAGATTGAGGAAGAGAATTCCAAAGCTTCGGGCCGTAGTGGCTGAAAGTGCGGCCACCAATGGTGGAGCAGAGGGGACGAGGGATAAGCAGGAGGCAAGAGCCAGCCCGGCGGAGGCAGTGGTTAGTGGAGTGGGGAGAAAGCAGATCAGAAAGGAAGGGAGGTGCCAGGGGCGGGAAGTTATATGTAAACTCTGGCAGCACAGTGAGGCCAGAGAGATTCCAGATTCCAAATTCATTAAAGACTGCAAAAATCTCCCGTGTCTTTTCCCCCCCGCAGAGAAATCGATAAGAATATAGACCATCGGGTAAACATTCGCAAAAACAAGTGGATTGTGGAAGGGAAGCTGAGGAGGTAAGACAATCTGTTAGGTACGGTGTAGATTTGTTACAGCGCTGAGGTGTGTAATGCCAATGCCACGTGGACCCAAGTTACTGAGCAGCCGACAGTCTGTTCCCACCCAGGAGCAGCCCACAGGAAGTGATGTTGGCGGTGACCTGTTGACCCAGAAATTGGGCTTTATTTTAGTGCAGCGGCCATTCCCGTGAGGGAACCAAGTACTTGGAACCTAGTAACAGGAGGAGGCCATTCAGCTGTTCCGCCATTTTATTAGATCATGGCTGATCTGTACGTCAACTCCATTTAACAGCCTTTGCTCCATATCCCTTGATACCCTGACCTCACAAACATCTATGTATCTCAGTGTTGAAGATTTGACTTGGCACTGGGAAACCAGCCGTTTCACCCACAAAATACACAGTCACTTCACTTTACAGGGTATTCTGTGAAGCACTTTGAGACGTCTTGAAGATGTGATAAGGCACTGTGCAAATGTAAGGATTATTATGATTATTGTGGCTTTGGTAATGAGGTGGGTTGGGATCCGATGGCTCCCAATCACTGTGTTATAACAGATCTCTACTGCATCTCATTCAGGGGAGTCCCCCCAAGCAGGTCAACCGGCTTCTGGGATCTGAGGTGGTGGGTCTCACCTCAGTCTGCACTCAGTCTTCACCTTGTCACAAGCCATATGTGGGACAGGGCATAACTGAGGTCCCTGTGGGGTTCAACTGCTTCAGAGGGAATGTGTATTATCCAAACGATCTGTTGACAGTTGACTCTTTGTGATTCCTTAATGAGAGTTGGATGTGTAGATCTGTTCTCAACCCTATGCCTAATGTACTACCATCTTCCTGGCTGCCACACACACCTGTGCTTTATACCAGACTGTGTAAGAAAGGAATGGAATGTGTAGAGCGATCTGTTGTGTTAATCTCGTCACTGGTGATGGGCAGGTTAAAGAGAGCTCTGCTGAAGAAGCAAGGCATCAGAGAGCCGCCTGAGAGCACGGTGGAGGACGGGAGGAGGAAACGGACGCTTGACCCGGAAGAAGATAGTCGTGGTGCTGCCGGCAACGCAGGCGAGGAAAGGGTTAAGGAGGAAATGGAAAGGACAACATCTGAGGAAAAGGCTGGGAATCTCAGTCGGGTAAATGGTTTGGCAGCTTTCTTCCCTTTTTTCCTCCTAAAGGTCGAGAAATCTCATTAAAGCGCAGAGAGTGATGAGCCAAATGTCAGCCCAGTCACTCATCCATTCCACTGCCCAGCTGCCGAAGCTCTGGAACGCTCCCTCTATCCCTCCCTCCGCCTTGCCCCTTCCTTCCCCATCTTCAGATCGCTCCTGAAGACTTTCCTCTTCAACCGTGCCTACAGTCCCCACCCCCCTCCGCTATTGTCAAGTGCTCTGGGGTGCTACCCTGCGTGAGAGGGGTGCCGTGTAAATTGTATAATCGCCTTAGTAGTACATCTGCCCTAGTCCTGATCTAGAGTTTATATTCTATGCAAGTTTGACATAACTCATTCTTTGCATAAGTCATATTAAATGTATGGTCCCGGCTGATATTACTTATGGGAGGTTTACTGTTTTATGTGATATTGTGTGTTGATACTTCACTCAGCTGTTAATGATTGTTCGTGTACCTTCCTCTTAGACTGAAGACCATCATTCTGCAAGCGTGGCTGAACTGGAGCGTCAGATTGAGAAGCTCAGTAAGGTTAGTGCTGGTTTCCTGATGGCAGCATTGAAGAGTGCATCTGGAGACACCTGTGTGGTCTAACTAACTGGTCCCAAAGTTAGAACAGATCAAATAAATAAACCTACACAACACAATTTCTCATATCCCTCAATCGAATTAGTCACTAATTATTTAATTCCCTACTGAATTTGCTGACACAATCTGCCTGCAGCATCCTTTCCCCGGATATGTCCCATACATACCCTTGCAGTGCAGAGCTTCATCAGAATGATATCAGGGCTTAAAGGGTTAAATTACGAGGACAGATTGCATAAACTTGATCTGTATTCCCTTGAGTTTAGAAGGTTGAGGGATGATCTGATTGAGGTGTTTATAATGATAAGGGATTCGATAGAGTAGCTAGAGAGAAACTATTTCCCCTGGTGGGGGAATCCAAAACGGGGGGCATCATCTTAAAATTAGAGTCGGGCCATTTAGGAGTAAAATCGTGCAGTTTTTCACTCAAAGGGCAGTGGGAATCTGGAACGCTCTCCCAAAAGGCTGTGGATTATGGCCACCATGAATGGCCTCCTCCTGTTCCTATATCAACAGTCCTTCTCTTTCCCAAGTGATCAATCTTGGGAGCTTTGACAGTGAGTGAGCTTTGACCAGGGAGAGGGGAATCACACCCCAACCTGATTCCTTCCTAGTGTAAAGATGACACTCAGACTGTTTTTATGCACTAACCAGCCCAAAAGGTTTGGATAGCAATCACGAATGGGAACCACGCCTGATGTTCTCATCCCAATCCAAGGGTCTACTGTACTATAATCCAATACGTTATCCATGTTAATGAATTGGTCACTCAATCCAAGACTGTTTGTGGGACGCTGCTGTATGCGATTGGCTGCCGCATTTCACCCACAAAATACACAGTCAATTTCACTTCACAGTATATTCTGTGAAGCGCTTTGAGACATCGCAAGGACGTGAAAAGGCGCTATATCAAATGTAAAGATTATTATTATTAATTCTGTCTGTGATCAGATAAGTCAGTACAGACTGGGGGGAATCAAACCAGTGACTTGCCCGATCAGCACCACACAGGGGCCCTGTATTTGGTTAGTGTAGTGACTGACATACGCCAGTGCAGAGATCTGAACCATTTGCTGCTGTCAAACCTTGCCCTGTTTGCACCCACAGCGACAGAATTTCTTTGCCCGGAAGCTGCTGCAGGCATCCCAATCTCTGCGAGCCTTGCTGTTGGGGCAGGATCGCTTTAGGCGGAGGTACTGGGTCTTCCCCCACCTCGGGGGACTGTTCGTGGAAGGTTCCGAGGCAGCAGCAGGTAAGATTGACTCCCTCCTTCCCCTGCAAACCATACTGCTGTTACTTTGTTAAGGGCTCTCGGGGACAACAACAACAACAACATGATTGCATTTATAGAGCGCCTTTCACGTCGGGAGGACGTCCCAAGGCGCTGGACAGTTGGGTCAGGATCCGAACAGGGGGGAAATGGTCAGGGTGAGGGGAGGGAAGGGAGGGAGCGAGGAGGGGGTAGAGAGTCGAGAGGGGAGCTGAAGGCACGGTCAAAGAGAAAGGTTTTGAGACCGGCCTTGAAGGAGGAGAGGGAGGAAACGGCGAAGGCACTGGGGGATAGAGTTCCAGAGCCTCGGGGCTGAGAGGCTGAAGGCCCGACCACCGATGGTAGGGCGGTTGGGGCGGGGGATGTGGAGCAGACCGGAGCCAGAGGAACGGAGGGTACGGGCAGGTAGGTAGGTGGATAGTAGGTCGGAGAGGTAGGAGGGAGCGAGGCCGTGAATGGCCTTGTAGGTGAGGATGAGGATCTTGAATTCGATCCTCTGGGGGATGGGGAGCAGTGGAGGCGAGCGAGGGCGAGGGTGGGAGCGAGGGTGAGGGCGAGGGTGGGAGTGATGTGGTCCCGAAGCCTGGTGCGGGACAGTACATGAGCTGCAGAGTTCTGAATGACCTGCAGTGTGGAGGGAGGGCCGGGAAGGCCGGCGAGGAGAGAGTTCCCATAGTCCAGCCTTGAGGTGATAAAGGTGTGGACCAGAGTTTCAGCCGCGTGAGAGGTGAGGTAGTGCCGTAGTCTGGCGACATTACGGAGGTGATGGAAGGCGGTGCCAGTTGTGGCGCGGATATGAGGAAGAAGGGACAGCTCAGGGTCGAACAGAACGCCGACGTTCCTGATGGCTTTGAGAGGTGGAGAGTGCGGCCTTGGATGCTGATGCTGTCAGCGCCTGAGGTTCGGAGGCGCTGACGCGAGCCAATCTGGAGGGCCTCAGTTTTGCGCACATTGAGCTGAAGAAAGTTGTCTACACTGTGTGAGGGGCGCTGTATAAATAAATGCACGTTGTTATTAAGAGTATCAAAAACAGACTGTTAGTTCTACATATGCATGCCATTTATGTGTGAAGATTTAAGTGTCTGAAATGGAATCTGCACTCTCCCTCTCTCTCTCTCTCTCTCTCTCTCAGAAGGACACATCCTGCTTACATTCCAGAAAGTAATAGGTGCAAGAGCCAAGGCTTGGGGACCCCAGAGTGTGCATTGGGATAACTGCTGGAGTCTAACCAGCAAAAAAACATATAGCTTGTCTGACATATATTGCCGACTGGCAAGCTTTCTCGCTGTTTGTCCAGTTAGGAGCACCCTACCCATTGGGTTCAGGGTTAACAGCGTGGGGTGACTCCCTGCCCCCAGGGACTGGTCTGCCCTTCCAAGTCCTACTAATGAGACAGCCTGGCTATGTCTGTGATCCCAGTGAAGCTCAGAGAGAGTTGAGTGTGGGAGATGCCTTCTCTCAATGAGTCATCAAACTCACAGCTTGTCTGCTCAGGTGGATGACAAGGATTTTAAAAGGCGCGGGGCTAAGAAGAGTGAGTTGGTTTCTCCTGATGCAATGGCCAACAATCCTGCAGATAAATTGGTCATTTCATTTCATGTGTGCTTGTGGGGCCTTGCTGTGTGCAAAATAGCTCTTAAATCAGTTGTGATGCAATGAATGAAAGTTCTTTCTCGTGTACAGTAATTAATAAGGAAATGTAGTAATAGTAATAATCCTGGCATTTGACATAACGCTTTATCTCTGTTTAAATCTGGCCAGGGCCTGAGGAGCTGAGCACAGACAAGCTCCCCGTGGACACTCACGTGAAAGTGGAACTGAGAGACGCACCGACCGAGAACGTCAACGCTCCCGGGAGGCCGAAGAGCGGGCGTTGCCGGAAACGCAAAACGGAACAGCTAACCGCGGAGCCCCCCAAGCGGAGCAGAGCAGCCTCAAACTCCCGGAAAAGCAGCCGCGATCCCGCCGCCCAGGCCCAGGTTCCGGCCCAGCACAGTGCAGAGCACTCGGCAGCTTGGTTTGCGTGGCTCAGCCTCTTACAGAACTCGATGACGATGCCTCTCCCTGCTCCTCACTGTAGCACCAGCAAACCTGGCCCTTACCCTCACCCCCACCCCGTGTCGCCCGAGCTGCTGCTGGCTAGTAACAGGCGTCTGTTCGACCTCAGCGTCCCCAGCTCCGAGAAGAAAGTCAAAGACTGTGCGGAGAGACACGGCCAGTGGTTCAGCCTCCTCCCGAGGAAGCCTTGCAGCTCCTCTGCCATCACCCAGCTTCCCCTCGCCTCACAGCAGGCAGCGCTGCATCCAGCTCCCCAGTTACACCACACTGCACTCCAGCTGCCGGCCTCCGCTGTGTTTGCAGCGTTACAGGTAGGTGTACGTGACGAACAAATAAATAAAATAAAGAACTAATGTGCAGAAACGCTACTTCAGTGAGCGAATAGTAAATGTGTGGAACAGGCTCCAAGGGAGACAGATAGACAGTGGAAGCAGAAAGTGTTGATTCTTTCAAGAACAAATTAGATAGATTTCTGTTGGGGAATAATATCTGGGGATGCAGCATATAGTTTGGAGACATGACATGTCAAGCGACTGCCAGGATGGAGGATGGAAGGCAAACTGGATGGACCTTGGTCTTTTTTGGCCAGCAAATTCCTATGTTCTTGTGTCAGGATAAAGACAGCGTGGGAGCTGGTGTATGTAACGAGCATCTCACAATGAGAGGAGTGTGTTTTTGTACTTTGTCTTCATTCTTCTCTCTTCCCCACAGTTTATGCCCTACATGGGCATTCCGCTGGACGGGAGGTCGATGGCTTTGCTCAACCCAGCGGCTGCTAACGGCACAGCGGTGGCCCCCGGGGCCCTGTCAGGCTCCACTCTGGCTAAAGGCAGGGCCAGGACGGCCCTGTGCCCTCCCACTCCACACAGTGATCACCTTCTGCCTCAGAAACCCAGGCCCCGGGGGCGACCACCAACCAAGTCCCTGAAGAAGATCAGTGAGCCTCAACTGAGCCCCATCCCCAAAGGTGAGAATCAGGTCGGAAATCTAAACCGTGTGGGAAAGGTGATTTATATATTATATATGATGCGTTCCTCTCAGAGAGAGGGAAAGAGAGTGCACATCCCATTCCACAGAAATGTGTAGAATCCGGTAGGGTAGTGGTTAGCACTCTCGCCTCGCTAGCAAGAGGACCTGGGTTTGATTCCCGGGCAGGGTGAAACCTTAGGCAAGTTTCCTTACTCCGCACTCGCGTCTCTGTTTACCTAGCAGTAAGTAGGTTGTTGGTCGATTGGCGGATCGCTTTTCCGGGGGTAAAAAATATTTATTTAAAAAAATTGGTCACTCAATCCATGATTGTTTGTGGGACACTGCTGTATGCAATTGTGGGCATGTATCACCCAAAGAATATACAGGTAATTTGCTTTACAGTATATTCTGTGAAGCGGATCTAATTATTATTATATCTATGTGTAGGTCGGATGCATTGAACTCTCTGTTTGGTTTGGTTACTCTTAAAACATGGTGTTGGGTTTCTGTGTGTGTCAGACACCCTGGCCAAAACAGAAACAATGTCTGGTCAGAAAGCCTGGGTGTCTGAGGTGTGAAGAAACCATCACTAAAAGCCACATCCCCTCCTGCTACAGTGGACAGTAAACAGTGAAGCTCTCATTAGCCAGGGCCTGTTTCAGCTGTGTGTTTGTTTGTTGGCTTTCCAGAGATGCAGAGTGGCTGGTGGTGTGTTACCAGCCCGGAGGAGCTGATTCTGCTGCTGAAGGCACTGCACCCCTGGGGGATCCGGGAAAAGGCCTTACACAAGCAGCTGAACAAGCACATGGAATACATTAGCCAAAGCTGCACCAAGGAGAGGACAGGTAGCAGCCGCTTGTTATTATTCACAGCGCTCTCCATGTGTAGAGTTGCCGCAGTGCTTTATGCCATCGGATCAGGAGGATGCCATTCAGCCCCTTGAGGTGGTTCTGCCATTCTATATTAGATCCAGAGGGGTCCAACCTTTTGGCTGCTGAGGGTCGGATTCCCTATTTGAGAAACGTTGTCAGGCCACATAAGCAATATTTTTGTGTTTCCCTTCCAGAAACAACCTTTCCGTGTTACAGAGGGAGTGGTGGGCCAGATGAAATATGGGCAGCAGTGGGTGGGTTCCAGTTGGACAACTCTGCTAAGCCATAGGCACAGGAGTAGGACATCAGCCCCTTGGGCCTGTTCTGCCATTCTATTAGATCATAGTTGATCTGTGCCTCAACTACAATTACCCACCTTTGCCCCATATCCATGATCCCTTGACCTGACAAACATTTATCCACTTCTGTTGTGAAAATGTGAAAGCATCCAGCCATAATCCACAGCCTTTTAAGGGAGGGAGAGAGTTCCAGATTCCCACTCCCCTTTGGGTGAAAAACTGCCCCTGATTTCACTCCTGAATGGCCTGGCTCTAATTTTAAGATGATGCCCCCCTTGTTCTGGATTCCCCACCAGGGAAAATAGTTTAACTGTAGCTACACTGTCGAATCCTTTTATCATTTTGAACTCCCCAGTCAGATTATCCTTGAACCTTCTAAACTCAAGGCAATACAAGCCAAGTGAACGACCAATTGATCGGTGTAATTGTCGCCCGGGAGAAACTCCCTCTTTTTTTTCTCTCTCCGTAAAGTCACAGATGATTTAATTTTGCTGGAAAAGGGGCAGAGTTTAACGTGTTCAGTGTGTAACCGGGAGTGAGTCGCAGAGTGAAAGGATCAATTTGCACTCAATAACCCGTGCCCTGATGCCAGATTTTCTCTCACTTCTTCTCTCAGATCCCATCTTCCATCCTGTCGGGGACGAGACAGAGCGGACGGTGTCCAAGGAGATGTTGGAGACATGGAAAGAGGAGAAATGGGTGTTCGAGACGGACTTGAATGCTCTGCAGCAGGTGGAGGCGCTGGAGCAGCGAGTGGTGTCGGCCAGTCTGCAAGTCAAGGTGACCAAACCTCAGAGAGAGAGACAGAATCTCAGACAGAGAGTCCAAACCTCAGACAGAGAGAGAGAGCGAACCTCAGACAGAGAGAGAGAGACCGGGCCTCAGACAGAGAGAGAGAGACCAGGCCTCAGACAGAGAGAGAGAGACCGGGCCTCAGACAGAGAGAGAGAGAGACCGGGCCTCAGACAGAGAGAGAGAGAGACCGGGCCTCAGACAGAGAGAGATAGAGACCGGGCCTCAGACAGAGAGAGAGACCGAACCTCAGACAGAGAGAGAGAGAGACCGGGCCTCAGACAGAGAGAGACCGAAGCTCAGACAGAGAGAGAGAGAGACTGGGTCTCAGACAGAGAGAGACCGAACCTCAGACAGAGAGAGAGAGAGAGACCTGGTCTCAGACAGAAAGAGAGACTGGGCCAGCCAGACAGGCACTGAGGGTGGAGTTGGGGGTTGGCGTTATCAGAGCAAGCAGCTCGGGCAATGCTGTCTGTGTATCTCGGCTGGCTACAGGGCAGCACTGAGCAGGGACAGAACACAAGCAGCGATATAATCTGGTCACATAAAGTGGAGCAAGTTTACAGTTACAGGGTGTGGTTGACTGCAATGGCACTCCTGTGTGCTGTTGTGTTGTGTTGGAGGCGGAATGGCTTTGTGTCGGCACCTGGGTGTCCCAGCTCCAGCTGCTCTGTGTAACCAGGCCTCTGGCAGGTAACAGAACAGATAGCGTGGAGTCCCGTAGCGTAATGGTTAGCCCACTTGCCTCCCAGGCGAGAGGACACAGGTTTGATTTCCCGGTGGGTTGAGGTGAAACCTTAGGTAAGTTTCCTTATTCCACACATACGCCTCTGTTTACCTAGCAGTAAGAGAAAACCCGAATGAATGTTAGACGATTGGCGGATCGCTTTCCGGGGAGTAATAATCCCTTTAGAAAATAATGTGACCAGTAACTGGGGGCAGGGAGTCCTCTCGCTCAGCTCCTGTTAACCCTGCAGCCAAAGCTCTAATGGGTAGGGTGGTCTTAGCTGGACAAACAGTGGAAAGTTTGCCAGACAGCAATAGCAGTGCAGGTGGGAGGCATGGAATTCTCAGTTTGCTTTGGAGATTCTGAAACATGTTGATGGGATTCCGCGTAATCAGACACCTGGCTAACACCCCCACAAAAAATTGTAACCGTGTCTGCGTGTGCCTCTCTCTGCTCAGGACTGGAGCTGCCCGGACACAGACTCCACACGGGATGACCTGGTTTACCTGGAGCCGAGGCAGGCGGGGGTGGAGTGCCGGGAGGGGAAGGACGAGGGGGAGCTGGAGCTGATGCGCCGGAATAACAACCCCCTGGTGCTGGGGGTAACGCGGCTGCTGGGGCTCGAGCCCAACATCGAGCGGCGCTACCTGAGGCAGCCGCTGTGGAACCCGTTCCCCGCGAGGGTGGACACAGGAACTGCCCCCCAGCGCGACGGAGAGGCCAGGGCCGACCAGCAAAAGGACAGGTAACCGTCTCCTCCCCACGACCAGCGAACATCACACAGTGTTTATAATTATAATAATCCTTGCATTTGATACAGCGCCTTATCACAACAACACGTTACAGTTACTTGGCAATGTCCCAAGGCGCTGTACAGTCAGGGATCTGTACCCGAGCAGGGAGTTGGGATCAGGAGAGCTGGAGGGCAGTGACTGTGGGGATAGGCAGGTGACCAAAGGCACAGTCGAAGAGGAGGGTTTTGAGACGGGCTGAAGGAGGCAAGTGAGGCAAAGGCACTGTGGGATGGAGTTCCAGAGAGTGGGGGTAGAGTGGCTGAAGGCCCGACCACCGATGGTGGGGACATTTTGATAATTTAACGTCTTCACGCGCTTCAAAGAATATATTGTCAAATTAATTGACTGTATATTTTGTGGATGAAACATGGCAGCCAATTGTGCACAGCAGCGACCCACAAACAGTCGTAGATTGAGTGACCAAATTATTATTTGTTTATTTTTTGGAGAGATTATTACTCCCAGAAAGTGATCTGCCAATCGACTAACATCCGGGCTCCTACTTACTGCTGGGTAAACAGGTGAGTGGAGTAAGGAAACTTGCCTCTGTTTTTGCCTCCACATCAGTCACTATAAAATGCAAGGATTATTATTTACACTTTAAAATGACTGACTCGCTGATGAGACATCAAATAAGTTCTCAGTTCGCTCAGCTTGTCACGGTTTGCATTGGGATTGAACGTGTGAGAGTGACACGTGTGTCGTGCCGTGTTGTGGAATGACCACACATGTTCTTTTTGTGTGTGGCACAGTGAGGAGGGGGAGATCTCGCCCGGGCTGAGTGTGTGGCGAGAGACGTTACTGAGGACCACCAGCGCCGCCCAGTTGTGCAACTGCATCCAACAGCTGGAGAGGGCCTTGTCCTGGGAGAAATCCATCATGAGAGTGGTGAGTGTCAACACGCTAGACACCGAATCCACGTGTGACGGGCACAGCGTACATGTAAACTGTGTCGCACCCTGATCTAGCAGTAAATGTATGGAAGAGGCTCCCTGGGGAACATAGGGGCATAGGAACAGGAGGAGGAAGGACATTCAGCCCCTCGAGCCTGCTCCGCCATTCTAACAGATCATGGTTAATCTGTGCCTCAACTCCAATTTGGGGGGGATTTTTTTTTAAAAAGGGAAATTTATGTAAGCAGGCCGGTGTGTCTTGTATCCCACCTAGTCTGTCTTGTGCAGGAGTGAGTAGATAATAGACAAAGAGATGTCAGTGGACAGAATAGTAGCGTCAGTGACCAAACCATTGCGACAACAACATGTTAACATTTATGTAGCGCATTTCACGTGAGGAGGAGATCTCCAAACACTACACGCAACTGACTGGCCAGTCTGCAGACTCCCTTTATGTGTGATGTTAGAAGCAGAACCAGATTAATTGAAGGGGGAAAAGGCAATGAAAAGAGTTCTTGGTTTTCTGGGGATTTTACAGAGGGACATCGAGTACAAGAGCAAAGCAATAATGTTAGGTTTGTACAGATTTTTGGTTAGACCTCAACAACAACAAATAACATTTTCACAGCAGCTTTCACGTCAGGAGGATGTCCCAAGACAGTGGACAGTCAAGAATTTGGATCTGAGCTGGGGGTTCGGATTAGGAGGGGTGGAGGGCAGGGAGGATGGGGGCAGGAAGGTGACCACAGCATTCAGTTTTGGGGTCACCTCACTTCAGGAAAAATGTTAAGGCCTGTGGGGCAGAGGGGGTTCAGGGCCACAACGCCAGGGCTAACCACACACTATCTCCTCCCGCTCTCCAGTCGTGTCAGATCTGCCGAAAGGGGGACAACGATGAGTTCCTGCTGCTGTGTGACAACTGTGATCAGGGCTGCCACACGTACTGCCTGCGGCCACAGATAGCAGACATCCCTGACGGCGATTGGTTCTGCCCCATCTGTGTCAGCAGGGTAAGAGGCACTTGTTAGTGTTTATCAGCAACTTCACTAACAACAATTTTTTTTTGTTTTTTTTCGTCAGCCGGGTGTCTGACACAAATGCAGAAACCCATCACCGTGTTTTAAGAGTGTCCAAACCAAACTGAGAATTCCCAGAGATAGGTTGGTGAAAGACAATGTGCACTCTCTCTCCCCCCCCCCGGAGGACACATCCTGCTTATCTAATTCTGGAAAATATTAGGCGCAGGATGGCACAGTTTTCCCGGCTTGGGGGGACCCAGAGTGTGTGTTGGGGTAACTGCCAGTGCCTAACCAGCTAAAACAGCATTGCATTGATATTGCTGACTGGCAAGCTTTCCCACTGCTTATCCAACAAGGACCACCCTACCCATTAGGGCTTTGGCTGTAGGGTTAACAAGAGTTGAGTGGGATGATTCCCTGTCCCCAGTGACTGGTCAGCCCTTCCAGGTCCTGCTGATGAGCCAGGCTGGGCTGTGCCTATGATCCCAGTGAAGAGTGACTCGGCTCTTTCTTCCCCCCCCACCTCAACCACTACCCCTACTGAGGTCAGTCCCTCAGCATTCCCCAGGCCTGCGACTTGGGACGTCAGCTACTCACTGGCTAAACACAGTGAGACATGAGGGCGGCCTGTGATTGTATTGTAATTAACATTCCCCCTTGTGTTGTGTTGTGGACGTATGGCTTTACTGACCTACTTTCTTCTCACTCCTCAGGCCAACAACCGGTCTGGAATGAGCCGCCGATCCCAGAATCCAAGGCGAAGGCAGAAAAGGGAGAGATTCCCCGGGAACGGGATGCTGTCTGGCAGCGGGGCCAGGAAGTACATGAAGCGAAGACGGAAGCGCATGACGCAGGATGGCCCTCTGCTCGCCAAGAGGAGGAGGACATCCAAGAGGAACCATTCCAGTGACCTGACTCTGTGCGAGTAAGCGCTCCGTCTTTACCTGCTCACAACCCAACCCACTCCCCGCTGCCTCCGCTCGACTGGCTCCGGCCTCCTGCTTGTACCTCATGCCCTCCGCTCCACCATCGGTGGCTGCGCTTTCAGCAACTACCCCCCCGAAACTCCCTCAATCCCTCCTTCCCCATCTTCAGGTCACGCCTGATGACCTTCCTCTTCAACCGTGCCCCCGGTCACCTCCCCCAGGCTCGGCGTCATGCTCCGCCACTGGTAAGCGCTGTGGGACACTGCCCTGCGTGAGGGGCACAATGCAAATTGCTGTCAAGTGTCAGACAGTGATTTGGACAGAGTACGGAGTGGGGGGGGGATAATGTGGAACTGACCCTTATCAAAGGATTCAAACCTCCCCCAGGATATCAGCCGTGATCTTATAGAATAGCGGAATAGGCTTGAGGGGCTGAATGCCCTCCACCTGTTCCCATGAGAGAGGGAGAGGATTCACCTTTCATGTCAGACGGACATCCCAAGACGCTGGACAGTCAGGGATTTGAACCCGAGCTGGGGATTGGGGTCAGGAGGGGTAGAGGCCAGTGAGGGTAGGGATAGAAGGGTGACCGAAGATGCAGTCAAAGAGGAGGATCTTGACACAGGCCTTGAAGAGGCCTGACGCTGGTGTACAGGAGGTGTTTAGAGCTGGTGATTTCCTGTTCCTCAGTGTGGCTCCCAGTTGGAGACTAACGATGAGCTTCCCTCCCGGCAGGATCATCCTGATGGAGATGGAATCCCATGATGACGCCTGGCCGTTCCTGCAGCCGGTCAACCCCCGCTTGGTGCCCGGTTACCGGAGAATCATCAAAAACCCCATGGACTTCACCACCATCAGGGATAAACTCATCAGCGGCAAGTGTGTAACCGTGCCTCCCCATCCCTTCGTTTCCCCCGCGCTCCACCTCTCACCCCCTCCTCTTCCTCCCCTCCACCAGCCCTCCTCCCCCTCGCCCAGGCCTCCCTCCTCCTCACCCACCTCCTCTTTCCCCCCTCCACCAACCCTTCTCCCCTCTCCTCACCCCCTCCTCCTCTCGCCCCCTTCTACTCCCCTCTCACCTCCTCCCACCTCGCCCCCTCCAACCTTTCCTCAATGCTGTGCAGCTCCTCCTACGTGGCTTGTCTGATTCAGCCACTCATGTTCTGCAGTTGGATTAGATCAGGGTGTTCCACGCTGCATTGTCAGAGGTGTGAGCAGCGAGACACTGCTCTGTGACGAGCAGGTTGAGTTTCCGGTGTTTTCTCTGGGCTGAGTGTTTGTCGTCCCGGCAGGTATTCGAGCTGTGAGGAGTTTGCCACCGACGCTACGCTGGTTTTCAACAACTGCGTGACTTTCAACGAGGACGACTCGGAGGTGGGACAGGCGGGATACATCATGAGAAAGTTCTTCGAGAGCCGATGGGCAGAGTTCTATCACTCCAGCTAGAGAGACGTCACCGAGATAGGGAGCTCGGGGCCAGTGATGGGCGAGCACTGTCTGAGTCCTAGCATCATGGGTGAGGGGGGAAGGAAGGAGAGGCTATGTTTAACCTCAGCCCTGACGAGGGTGACTGTTACCATTGATGACGAAGGCCTGGCTCCGCGGTGAATGTCTATTCAGCAAAAATTCACACTCCTTAATGTGTCCGACTTCAGGTTGAGAAGCTGAGATTAACAGCAGGCTGTGTCTGGGGATAGTGAAAACTTCTCCTTAATAACAGGAAAACCTCCCACACAATCAGTTGGCAATGGGGGAGGGGTGGGGGGAACAGGAAACAAACAAACAATTGGAATGATTGGGGGGAATTTGCTATCTGTTGAGTTATGAATTTTTTGCTGTTGAGGTTTTGCTGATATTAATTTATTATCTTCTCGTCTCTCTCTCCCCTCCCCCCCCCCCTTTACAATTTTCTCTCCTCATGAAGACATCAACTCACGCCCTGGGGAACTTCTCATGAGACTCGCAAGTAATTTAACCAGAAATCCTGGGGAGGGGGGAGCGGACAGTTGGTGGTGGGGTGGGGGCTAGGTAGATATCTTGATGTCCACACTTCCTCAATCATACTCCCTCTGTGTACTAATGAGTGCAGAGTTTCAGTATGACACAGAGTGAAGCTCTGTTTTCTCTCGGCAAGCTTTGGAGAGTTGTGTGTCGTGTCACCCCTTCCTGCTCCTCCGCTTCCCCCCACCCCCTCCCCCCCGCACTGAAGAAAGAGAATCGATTGTAATTTTTTATATTATTTAATTTGACATGTATAATGTAGTTAATTTATAGGTTAGGGTATCCAGGACAGATATTTATATATAAGTGCCGGGGGACAAACCCACCCGCAGGAAATCCACCCCTACATGTGGTTCTTTATTCTTAAAAAAAAGTCAAAAAGAGTCTTACTTTCTGTTTGGAGATTTTGGAACAGAGGAAGTGTAGACCCTCACTGTGTGTGTGCGTGCGTCTGTATGAGTGTGTGTATCTGTATGTGCGCGTGTGTGTGTGCCTGTTTGTGCGTGCGTGGGTGTGTGTGTCTGTGCCTGTGTGTCTATGCGTGCGTGTATGTGTAAGTGCAGCCCTTCACTGTGTTTGTGCGCAGTGAGATAATAATCCTCCCCAAATGTTTTTATAATAATGGTAATTCAGTCACTCAATCCACGACTGTTTGTGGCACACTGCTGTGTGTAAGTGCAGACACTCACTGTGTGTGTGTGTGTGTGCCTGTGTGTGCGCGCAGGGGGTTAGTTTATTCAGGTGGGTACGTTTCTGATTCAGACATCACAACTATCAGGACTCACATCTATACCTATTTGACCATATTCGCCCCCAAACTAAATCCGTTTATAAAAATGTTAAAAGAGCAAAGTGTGACATTACTGCGCCCTCCAATGGCCATTTCTGGGAACCGCACCCCTTAAAAGACAGTGACTTGGGGGCTGAGTTCCACCACGTTTCCCTGGGGCGGTGAGGGGTCCTTGGAGCCAACCTGACTCCCAGTAAATCTCGGTCGTAATCCAGCCCCCTATTGTGTTTTCCTTGAGGGAACACGAACACAAAAGTACACAGAATAATGTGGCGACTGAGTTAAACAGTGGAAATAATAAGACACAACTCTCTTCTCCACCCGCCCCTCCCCATACACCCAATCTCTCCCACTGCGTCGTTCCCCCAAACACACGCCCCAGCCTCCCTGAATGCTCATCCACACTGGCTCATGAGTAACAACAACAACTTGCATTTTATATAGCGCCCTTTATACAGTGTAGCGTCTTACTAAACCTTAAGAGTCAAAAGCTGGGTTCAGTCTGTGCTGAACTGGGGTGAGGCCAGGTTGGATGTTGAGCCTCGGGGCGGGGGAATTAGCACTCAGTCAAGACTAACAATTTACCCACTTAGATAAAGTTAGAGGGGGTGTGTGGCCATAGAACCGTCAGCCCACAAGGGGAAAAATAAGCTGAACATCTTCAGAGTAGGAAGAGATGGAGAAGACAGAAAAGGAACAAAGGATAAAATGGATCAATCTGTGCTCTGACGCCTCAATCATATGTTCCCAGTGTAACTCAATTTGGTAATAATCCCTCCCAAATTTTTTCTATTATAATTATCATACTAGTAATTCCGTCACTCAATCCACAACTGCTGTGCGCAATTGGCACAGCTTTTCACCCACAAAATAACGCAGTCACTCCTCTTTAAAGTATATCCTACGACGCACTTTGAGACACCTTGAAGAGGTGATAAGGGGCTATATCAAACGCAAGGATGATGATGATTATTCACTCCGAAACGAGAATTTATGTGGCAGTGGGGTGGCAGAGGGTGGGGAGGAGTAATGTCCTGTATTTAGGCTGCCCGTCCCCATGTAAAGACCATCCAAATATCATTTCTTTTTAAAATGCAGTGTGATTTAAAACATCAACAAGCAATTAGCCCTCAGGACCGCACCCACCACCAACAACAAATTACACGTATACAGAGCGCCTTTCGGGTTGGGAGGACATCCCAACGCACGTTCCGAACTGGTCTCCAAACCCAGAACTCAGTCCTCCTCAGCCCCCACAACACCCCCCCCCCCCGAAGGAAGCCACACCTTTTTCTATATAATGACCGTGTCCGATGTTTAGACTGTTTTATAATGTACAGTTTCTTTTTGTGACTGAAAGTTAATTTGTTTCTATATATTTTTAGGACCAACAACCTTTCTAAATAGAAGCTATTATTAAAAAAGAGGAAATCCATGCTGTGACGGTGTTGTAATGCCAGTAGGATATATTGTGAGTTTAAAATAAAGCCACATTATACTGAGGATCCTCATTGTTGTTTAAGGGTGACATTTACCTGTAACGTTGGGACAACAACTACTGAGTTCCCCACAGCTCCTCCCTGGGGTATAACCTCAGTCCTCCGCACCCCCGTGTTTATACCCCCCACAGCCACTCCCTTGGCCCTGCAACCACGAGGTATAGCACCTCTCCCTCTGGGTCCCAGCCCTCTCCCCAGGGTTTACCCCCCACAGTCCTTCCCCCTTGGGTTTAACCCCACAGTCCTTCCCCGTGGGTTTGCGCCCCCACAGCCCCTCCCCCTGGGGTTTACAAAAACAACAACAAGTTTTCATTTATAGAGCGCCTTTCACGTCGGGAGGATGTTCCAAGGCACTGGACAGTTGGGTCAGGACCCGAGCATTGGGGGGAAATGGTCAGGGTGAGGGGAGGGGAGGGAGGGAGCGAGGAGGGGGGAAATGGTCAGGGTGAGGGGAGGGAAGGGAGTGAGGAGGGGGTAGAGAGTCGAGAGCGGAGCTGAAGGCTGAAGGTCAAAGAGAAAGGTCTTGAGACCGGCCTTGAAGGAGGAAAGGGAGGAAGTGGCGAAGGCACTGGGGATGGAGTTCCAGAGCCTCGGGGCTGAGAGGCTGAAGGCCACCGATGGTCGGGCGGTTGGGGCGGGGGACGTGGGGCAGACCGGAGCCAGAGGAACGGAGGGTACGGGCTGGTGAGTGGGGGATAGTAGGTCGGAGAGGTAGGAGGGAGCGAGGCCGTGAATGGCCTTGTAGGTGAGGATGAGGATCTTGAATTCGACCCTCTGGGGGATGGGGAGCAGTGGAGGCGAGCGAGGGCGAGGGCGAGGGTGAGGGTGAGGGTGAGGGCGAGGGTGAGGGCGAGGGTGAGGGCGAGGGCGAGGGTGAGGGCGAGGGTGGGAGTGATGTGGTGGCGGTGTCTGGTGCGGGACAGTACACGAGCTGCAGAGTTCTGGATGACCTGCAGTGTGGAGGGAGGGCCGGGAAGGCCGACGAGGAGAGAGGTCCCATAGTCCAGCCTTGAGGGGATAAAGGTGTGGACCAGAGTTTCAGCCGCGTGAGGGGTTATCCCCCCACAGCCCCTCCCTCCCGGTTCCTGTTGCTGAAGGTGACACCTTGTGGCGGTGACGTCACTGCAGGGGACATGACTCCGGAAGCTGTTTGTGGTGAGACCCGGAAGTGTTACTGTGGCGGCGTCAAGTGACTGACCGGAGGGAGAAGGTGAGGACCCGCGACCCGGTGGGGGGGACAGAGGCCGCGGGGGGGGGGTCAGAGGCCGCGGGGGGGTCAGAGGCCGCGGGGGGGGGCAGAGGCCGGGGGGGGGGGCAGAGGCCGGGGGGGGGGGAGTTCGGGAGGAGTTGATTCTCAGTCATTTAACAGTTTAATGCTCAATCGGTGTCTCGGTCTCAGCCTCAGGTCTTGTCCTGGGGGTGGGGGGTGTGGGGTGTGGGGGTGGGGGGTTGTGGGGTGGGGGGTGTGGGGGTGGGGGGGTGGGGGTGGGGGGTGGTGTGGGGGGTGGGGGGTGGGGTGTGGGGGGAGAAGGTGATGGGGGACATTGTTTGTAATTTTTTTGAATAAAGACCTGCATTGATTGTAAACAAACTCCGGGACTTCGCTGTGGTCAATTGGCGCCGCGTTTCGCCCACAAAACACACAGTCACTACACGTTTACAGTGTATCCTGTGAAGCGCTTTGAGATGTCTCGAAGATGTGTTGAGGCGCCGTATCAAATGCCAGGTTTATTATTATTATTGGTCGCCCCCCCAGTCCCCACCCTCCACCCGTCCTGATGCCAACTCACAGCTCAGGTCCAAACCCCTGACTGTCCAGTGCCTTGGGACGTCCTCCTGATGTGAAAGTGTGGTTTGTTTCAGGTGAGACATTAAACCATCGGTGGTGCTTCAGGTGGATGTTAAATATCTCCCCCGATTTGGGAACAGATGGAGTTTCTCTCTCACTCCCCCCGGGTCCTGCCCAACAATCTCTCAAATAAAATCGGTCGCTCACTCCTGTTTACAATGCTGTTTATGGGACGTCGCTGTGTGCAAATTGGCTGCTGTGTTCATCTACAAAACACAAGGTCACTACACTTTGCTGTACAGTATATCCCGTGAAGCGCTTTTGGGATGCCTTCCCGACATGAAAGCTTTGCCAGATACAAGGATTATTTTATTATAATTATTATTTGTGACTTGTGTGTTTTGTGGGCAAACTTCCTTCATCACTTTCCTTCAAACAACCCACGACCGTTTGTGGGACGTCGCTGTGTGCAATTGGCTGCCGTGTTTCACCCACAGAATATACAGTGAATTCACTTTACAGTGTATCCTGTTATTTTATATATTAATAATAAAATAGGTTACACTGTAAAGTGAATTAAAGTTTATTAATTATAATGCATTTGACCAGAGCTTTATCACATTTCGATACATCTCAAAGCGCTTCACAAGATACACTATAAAGTGTGATGACTGTGTGTTTTGTGGGCGAAACGTGGCAACCAATTGCACACAGCAGCGTCTCCACAAACAGTCGTGGATCGAGTGACCAATTTATTATTATTTTTATTATCACAGCTAATCATTTGCCGCCTCCTTCGGTCACTGAGCTGTAATCCCGGCTGCCTGGATCCCTCAGGATGGTGTTTGTTAAGAAGTTTGCGGACGTGGGTTACAAGGTTTTCTCCACCTCGATGATCCTGCTGACAGTGTATGGTGGCTACCTGTGCACTCTGCGTGGCTACCGCTACTACACACAGCAACAGACACTAAAGGCTTTAGCCGAAAACCAGGCCAGTGAAAGCATAAAAGACTAATGTTTCTTTATGGAAATTCCCAACTCGAGCAGAAGCTCTCAGAGCAAAGCTGACTGTAAATAGTAAGCCGGGAGGGTCACTGGCTTTGTGGTTGGTCGGAGAATTCTTTCCCACGATGACTTTGATTGAGCTGTTCTGTTTGATGTAGAATGTAATCACTGCTGTTCGTTTCTGTGTTTATAATCTGCACAATTTCGAAAGCTTTATTCCGTGTCACTTGAAACTAAATGTTTTGAGACAAAATGTTTGTTTTTGCAGTTTGTTTCTCCCCCTCCTCGCCTGAAACTATTTCTGTTTTTTGTTTTTATTATATTTGATCATATTATTATATTGTTTTGCACAAAGTGATTTGTGCAGAATCAGACATAGGAATGTCCACGTGGAGATGGTGTATGTGAAACTCACTGGATTTTGTGAGTGGGGAGGGAGTGAGGCAGTGAATAAGTGAACATGATTTTCCTTTGTCTTTTTATGCTCCCCTGTTAATAGATTCTCGGGCAGGGCCAAAACTTAGGCAAGTTCCCTTACTCCACACACCTCTGTTTACAGCAGTAAGTAGGAGCCCGGTTGTCAGTCGATTGGTAGATCGCTTTTCTGGGAGTAATAATCCCTTCAAAAGTAATTATAATAATTCAGTCAATTCCATCCAAGATTGTTTGTGGGACACTGCTGTGTGCAATTGGCTGCCACGTTTCCCCCACAAAACACGCAGTCAATCCATTTTACTATATTCTGTGAAGCGCTTTAAGAACATAAGAACATAAGAATTAGGAGCAGGAGTAGGCCATTCAGCCCCTCGAGCCTGTGCCCCGCCATTCGATAAGATCATGGCTGATCTTCAGATCTAACTCTAATTACCCGCCCTCTCCCCATATCCCCCAATCCCTCTGTTTTTTAAAAATCTATCAGTCTCAGCCTTGAAGATGTTCAAGGACTGACATCTACAGCCTTCTGGAGGAGTGAATTCCATAAATTCACTGCCCTCTGAGTGAAGAAATGTTTCCTCAACTCTGTTCTGAAAGGCTGACCCTCAATTTTCAGACTGTGACCCCTGGTTATAGATTCTCCTACCGGGGAAACAGTCCCTCAGTGTCTACTTTATCAGCCCTTTAAGAGTCTTATATGTTTCAATAAGATCTCCCCTAATTAGTTGCTGCTGCACCTGCAAACTAACTTTTTGAGACTGGTGTACAAGGACACCCAAATCCCTCTGAACACTAACACTATCTAATCTCTCCCCCTCCAGAAAATATATCTGTTTTTCTATTTTTGCAACCTAGTTGAATGACTTCACACTTCCCCACATTAAATTCCATTTGCCACCTACTCGCCCACTCCTCTCGCCTATCTATATCCCGTTGCAATCTTTTTGCATCATCCTCAGAGCTCACTCTCCCACCGAGTTTAGTGTCATCCGCGAATTTAGATACGTTACATTCAATGTCCTCGTCGAGATCATTGATGTAAATTGTAAATGGCTGAGGCCCAAACACTGATCCTTGTGACACTCCACTAGTCACATCCTGCCAATTCGAGAATGACCCGTTTATCCCTACTTTCTGTTTTCTACCCGTTAGTCACTCTTCAATCCGTGCTAATATGTTCCCATTTATCCCGTGGGCCTTAACCTTGTGCAATAGCCTTTTGTGTGGCACTTTGTCAAATGCCTTTTTAAAATCTAAATATACTACATCTACTGGTTCCCCCCTATCTAACCTGCAGATACATCTTCAAAAAACTCTAAAAGATTAGTTAAGCATGACTTCCCTTTTGTAAAGCCATGTTGACTCTGCCTAATCTTGTTATGGTCTTCCAGGAATCCCATAACGACATCCTTAATTAAGGACTCAAGAATTTTCCCTACCACTGATGTCAGACTAACTGGTCTATAGTTCCCCATCTTTTCTCTCCCACCCTTCTTAAATAGTGGTGTCACGTTTGCAATCTTCCAATCAATGGGAACCGTTCCAGAATCCAGAGAATTTTGGAAGATCAAAGACAAGCCATCCACTATCTCAGTAGCCACCTCTTTTAAAACCCGAGGATGTAGGCCATCAGGTCCAGGAGATTTATCAGTTTTAAGACCTGACAATTTACCTAAAACCATTTCTTTACTAATATTAATTCTCCCAAGTTGCTCACTAACATTGTCTTCTTGGTTCCCCTCTATTCTTGGTAGGTTTTCAGTGTCTTCTAAGGTGAAGACAGTAGCAAAGTACTTGTTTAATGACTCTGCCATGTCTTTGTCCCCTACTATAATTCCCCCCGGTCTCCCCCTGTAATGGACCCACATTTACCTTTGACAGCCTCTTCCTCTTTATATATTTATAAAAACTCTTGCAGTCTGTCTTTATGTTCCTCGCTCGTTTGCCCTCATATTCCATTTTCTCCCTCTTAATCACTTTTTGTTTCTCCTTTGTTGATCCCTAAAGTTCTTCCAATCCTCGGGTTTACTACTCATTTTAGCTGTTTTATAGGCTTCTTCCTTTAACTTTATACTTTCCCAAACTGCTCCAGTGAGCCACGGTTGGGCCACCTTTCCCGTGGCATTCTTATTCCTCAAAGGAATACGTGCTCGCTGGGAATTTTGCAATATCTCCTTAAACGTCTGCCATTGCTGTCAAATCCTTAAGTCTAATTTCCCAGTTTATTTTAGCTAAATCCTCTCTCATACCAGCAAAGTTGGCTCTACTTAAATTTAAGACCTTTGCTTCGGACTTAACTACTCTCTCTCTAACTTAATGCTAAATTCCATCATATTATGATCACTTTGCCCGAGAGGAGCCTTCACTTCCAGTTTGCTGATCAGCTCTGCTTCATTACACAAAACAAGGTCTAATATGGCCTGTTCCCTGGTTGGCTCCTCGGCAAACTGATCCAGATAATGAACCCTAATACATTCTATAAACTCTTCCTCTATCATACTTTTCCTAATTTGGTTGTCCCAGTCTATGTGCAGATTAAAATCGCCCACAATTAATGTTTTTCCTTTATTACATACTGTGACTGCTGTTCGGGGGTCTATTAACTACTCCCACTAGTTTTTTCTGCCCCTTGTTGTTTCGTAACTCTACCCATACTGACTACTTCCTGCTTTTCTGATTTTAAATCTTTCCTCTCTATTGTTTTTATCCCATCCTTTATTAGCAGGGCCACCCCCCCTCTTCGTTTACCACATTGCCTATCTTTTCTATACGCCACATACCATGGAATATTTAGCTCCCACCGTTGATCTCCCTGTAACCGTGTCTCGGTGATGGCTTCCAGATCATACCCGTTTGTTTCTATTTGTGCATTTTCATCTATCTTGTTTTGAATGCTTCGCGCATTCAGATATAGCGCCTTTAATTCTGACTTTGGGCTATTAGTCCTATTCACCAGTACCCTATCCCTGGGCTTCTTTTCCCCGCTTGACACAGTTTGCTCATCTCCCTCGTTAATCTGCTCTCCCACTTTCATCGGTCCTAATTTTAATTGTGACGTATTACATTTGATTGAATTCACCCCCCCCCCCACCACCCTTAGTAGTTTCAAGACCTGTCTACCTCTATTTATTCATGTTGCCAGGACATTTGTCCCAGCCCTGTTTAGGTGGAGTCCATTCCTTTGGAATAGCTCCTGTCTCCCCCAATACTGGTGCCAGTGGCCCATAAAGTGAAATCCCTGCCCTCCGCACCACTCTTTTAGTCAGGTATTCAGTTCTTTAATTTTTTTTTGCCTGTACCGATTTGCCCCCGGCTCAGGTAATAATCCCAATATTAATACCTTCGAAGTTCTACTCTTTAGCTTAACTCCCAATTCCTTGAACTTGCTCCTCAACTCGTCCCTACCTGTCCTCCCTACATCATTGGTCCCTATGTGAATCATAACTATTGGATCCACTCCCTCTTGTTTCAAATTTTTCTCCAGCCCGGAAGTGACGTCCTTCATCCTGGCCCCAGGAAGGCAACAGAGTCTTCTTGTCTCCCTGCTACGGCTGCAGAAAAGTGTGTCAGTCTTCCTAACTGTCTCATCCCCAATTACCACTATATTCCTTCTGACTATTCCCAGTGTGACCTACTGTATAGAGGTGATGGGGTAAGTTTGCCCATCTTCCTCACAGACTTCCTTGTCCACACAGGTTGCAAGTATTTCATACCTGTTGGACAAGGTTAAAGCCTGGGGTTCCTTTGACCCTCTTTTTCGGGTCCCCTTATGCGCCTGTCTGACCGTCACCCATTCCTGTCCGTGGCTGGTAACAGAATGTTCCCTGGGATTCATGGGAGTGTCTGGCTCCAGGATGAAACTGTCCAGGAAGCTCTCCCCGTCTCTAACGCTGCGCAGTGTCTCCACCTGAGACTCCAGCTCAGCTATTCTAAGCTGGAGCTTCCTCAGTCGCCCAGGCTCAGGTTGGCCTCCATCATTGAGACGTCTCAGCGACATAAGGTTCTATATCAAATGCAAAGGTTATTATTATAACTAAATACCCGTTTCATCCCCAGCAAACATTCACACGAATATTTAAATCTAAACTATTCTTCCTCACTCCCCACCTTAAGTGCTCCGAGCTGCTACCCTGTGTGAAGAGTACGATATAAACTTTCTTGGACCTGATGACCTCACCCCAGAATAGCGGCTCCCAGAACAAATTTATTTCAAACTCAGTATATTAAAATACATTAAAATACAATCTGATTTCAATCAGTGAAAAGCCATGACTCCTTACACTGCTTATACAATTATAATTTTTTAATCAAACTTGTGCAAATTGTTATACGTCTCTTAGAATAAGACCTTCTTCTGTGATTGGGTGTCAATTTACCAGAGCTATGAAACAACAACACATATTTACATGGTTGTCATGTCAGGAGGATGTCTCAAGGCGCTGAAGGACTCAGGAATGTCCTATGATATGTGACAGGTCTCTCTTTGGCTGCTGTCCCTTTTCAAGCTCTTCCTGTTCCTGACGTTGTCCCTCAGTTGGACGCCTTCCTCAGGAAGTTCTGTGGGATCTGTGTTGGGATTTGGTTCTCCCCTGTGTAGGTCGAGGCCTCTGTGCTGTCCATCCACATCCGCTACCTGAGCAGATTCTGAATCATCCTCTGTGCTTCCCTCTACCTTGTATATATCTTTGTCGGATTCATCATCCATCGCCGTCTCACGCGCTTCACTCAGTTCCTCTCCTGTATGGACGCCGGTTTGCTCGAGCCCACTCCAGGCCAGCCCACCATCCGCAGAAACCATTTCCACTAATGGTTTCTTTTCTACCACTATCGACCTTGTATCTGCTGAGCCGACAGAACAGTCTTCGTTCCTGGTTATCTCCTCTGCTTGTGGCTCTGCCACAGGAACATGCTCCCCCTCCTCCTGGCCCAGCCCCCCCTCGCCCTCGCTGGCAGTCACTCTCTCCTCTCTGCTCACAATCTTCCTGAGCAGCTGCTCGAACGCCTCAAACACCCTCTTTCCCCTCACACTATCGCTGCGTTCGACACTGCCACCATTTGCCTTTGTTTCCGTCTCTTTCCTCCCCACGACTTCATCCGTCACGATTTTCTGTCCCTGAGATTCTAACAGCGCCGTCTGTTCAATCCCCTCTCCCTTCGTGATCCCGTCTCCACCGTCGACCTCCTCACCGCCATTCTCACTCCCTGATTCATGCTGCACCGTTTTGCCTTCCTCTCTTCTCCCGTTCTCTCCTTCCTCTGTTCCTCCCTTACATTCCTGTGACATTCTCTCTGTTTCTCGGTTGCTCCCGAGGCCTCCTTCGCTCTCGGGCTCGTTACATTGCTCCTCAAACCGGAATGTTGCTTCTCCCTCTGCTGGTTCCTGCCTCTCATCCCCACCCACAGCCCCTTTCTCCTCCAATTCCTGCACTGGATTCGAAGCCGCCTGAGCCGGCCTGACCTCCTGCTCTCCCTCTCTGTCCTCAGCTTCAATTCTCTTCTCCACATCCTCGCCATCAATTCCGTCTCCAGCTCCCGAAACAACAACAGGGCCATTTCCCCCCGAGATTTCTTCCCTCTTTTCCAGCCAAACACCAATCTCCTTCCCTCTCGGACCCACGTTCTCTCCATCCTCTATTCTTTCATCCCACATGACCTTAATCCTTCCATCCTCCCTCTCCTCCCACACCCATGGCTTCTCGTTCCTCTCTGGTCGCCTGTCCTCGGTATGTGTGACCTCGATTGAAATTCCCAACGGATCTATTCCCGGCCTTTCTTCATTCACACCATCCTGTCCCAAACCTTCCCTCCTCCACTCATCACTTTTCTCTGACACGTTCCCTCCTTCCCACCTTTCCTCGTCTCCTCTCCCCTCTCCCCCGCTTTGTCCTTCAGAATTTACACATTTTGTTTCTTCATCGCAGCTTCGCTCCATGATGGCCCCATTGTCGTCGGGTGCCGCCCGCCTGCCCTCGGGGGGAGGGTGTCCAGGCGCCGGAGTCATAACCTCGGCCACTCGTTCCGTTTGGTGTCTCTCAAGCTCCCTGTTCTCCTCCATCACAACCTTCTCTTCCTCAATGCGCTCCCTGGCTCCTCCTTCCCTGTTTTCCCCCCCATCTCGCTCAGCCACACTGTCTTTCTGTGCATTTCCTCCCGAATCAGACCGATATCCCTCCCTTCCTCGTTCCTTCCCTTCTCGGGAATCCTGTCTCTCTGGGGACACTCTGAATCCCGGAATCTCCTGGGATTTCACGGAGTGTAAACACTGTGGGACCTGGGATTTCCCTTCACTCTTGACTTTATCCTCTGTGCTCGGCCTCTCGTTGCCTGAATCTCCCTCCTTCACTTGGCGAGACTCGGGGGATGGTGAACCCTGACTGTGTCTCTTCCTCTGAATGTCTGTATCTGGGTTTCCTGGGGGATTGGGTTTGTCCTGTCGGGGGGAGGGGGTTGGGGGGGGAGGTGAGGGTGGGTTGGGAAACAATCTGTTAGTTTGAGACAAGATTCTAGACATACATTGGCACCAGGTTCACCCATTTGACAAATATATTTTGTCACTTAATCCACGATAGTTTATGAGTCGCTGCTTTGCTCAATTGGCTGCCATGTTTCCCCACTAAATACACAGTCAATCCACTTTGCAGTATATTCCGTGAAGTGCTTTGAGACATCTCGAAGGTGTGTTAAGGCGCTGTATCAAATACGAGGATTATTATTATTATTTGGCCGAAGTACTTGCATTTAGCAGCTCCTCACCAGGCTCTGTGACCCTATCACCCCCATCCTCACCCGACTCCACTGGCTTCCCATCACACAGAGGATACAGTTCAAGATCCTGGTCCTCACCTTCAAAGCCCTCCATGGTCTTGCTCCCTCCGACCTCCTACTCCCTACCATCCTGCTCGCTCCCTCCCGCTCAGCGGGCTCCGGCCTGCTTCACGTCTCCGGCCTCGCCCGCCCCACTATTGGCGGGAGGGCCTTCCGCCATTCTGCCCCCACCCTCTGGAACTCCATCCCGCAGTCCCTCCGCCTCGCCCCCTCCCTCGCCTTCTTCAAGACCCATCTCAAGACCCTCCTCCTCGACCATGCCTTCGATCTCCCTGCTTCGCCCCCTGCCCTCCCCCCTCCCTGATCCCGACCCCCAGCTTGGGTCTGAAACACTGATTATCCAGCATCTTGGGACGTCCTCCTGACGTGAAATGCGCTAAACACATGCAATGTTGTTAGCAGCTCCCCACCAGACTAACATCTGTCAAAGTGCTTCTGTCATCATTGGCAAATGTAGTGACTGATTGTTAATTGTATAATGCGACACCACCCTTTTGCGCACTGCATAACCCGATCCTGGAGTGAAGTGTAGTGACTGGGATTTATCTGCAAGTTTCTGGCCGAGAAACCAGGAGAAACTCTCCTCGTCTGGGACACATCTGGCAACAACCCCACGTAATCCAGACCCCGATCTCTCTCTCTCACACAAGGTCTCACCTCTCTCCCCACCAGGCTCAGCTGCAACCAACTGATCTTCTGCTGCAGAGCTGCGTTGGTGAGTTTCTCAGCCTCCAGTGCCTGGGGAACAAGGTCGAAACCGATTAACACACCAACAACAAACCAAAACACACACCCACAACACACACACACACAATGACAACACATACACACACCCACAACACACACACACACACCCACAACACACACACACAATGACAACACATACACACTATGCTTAAAAAGAAAAACGTGTAGGGTTATGAGGGGAAAGAGCAGGGAGTGGGACCAGTTGGTTGCTCTTTCAAAGATCCGACACAGACACGATGGGCTGAATGGTCTTCTGTGCTGCAAGATTGTATGATTCTTGATTTCCCTCCAACTCGGCCCCTCCCCTCATTCAAGGCCCGTCTCAAGACCCTCCTCTTTGACCGCTCCTTCGGGCACCCTCCTACCCCCACCCTCCACCTGATCCCAACCCCCAGCTCGGATCCAAATCCCTGACTGACCAACGCCCTGAGAGGTCCTCCCGACATGAAAGGCTGCGTGTAAATGTTGTGTGTTGTTATGATTGTGATACCTTGCGCAGTTGCGTGTGTCTGTGCTGTGTCTCAGCGAGTTTCTCCTCCGCCCCCTCCAGTATATCTTGGAGCAGCTCCACCTGGTACACGAGCAGCAGATTCTCCCTCTCCAGTTGATTGATGGTCTCCAGCAGCTCAGGGTTTCTCTCCTCCCCGGCCTCCTCGTGGCGAGTCTAACCAGGAACATGGCAAAGCTACGGTTATCAGACTTGACTCTCATCCACAGGAGCCGGACTGGGCCGACCGGCCCTCAGCGCCCACACCCGGATAATTTACATGTACAATTAACCCACACAGGCAGTGTGGACAAGCTACACACATAACCTGCGTGTACAATGCTCACACACACACAAACTGCTCACATTTGTGAACAACGCACACAACCCATCTTGAGATGGGTCTTGAAGGAGGCAAGAGAAGGGGCGAGGCGGAGGGACTGCAGGGGTAGAGTTCCAGAAAATGGGGGGAGACCAACGGCCAATGGTGGGGTGGGCAAGGCAGGCGACATAAAGCAGGCTGGAGCCCGCTGAGCGGAGGGAGCGAGCAGGATGGTAGGGGGTTAGGAGATCACAGAGGTAGGGGGAGCAAGACCATAGAGGGCTTTGAAGGTGAGGACCAGGATTTTGAACTGTATCCTCTGTGTGATGGGAAGCCAGTGGAGTCGGGTGAGGATGGGGATGATAGTGCGGGAGAGGACACGGGCTGCAGAGTTAGTTCTGGATGAGCTGCAGTCAGTGGAGGGAGGAGTTGGGGGCCGACAAGCAGTGAGTTTGCATAGTCGAGCCTCGATATAATGAAGGCGTGTGTGAGGGTCTCGGGGGCTGCGGAGTGAGACAGTGGCGGAGTCGGGCGAGGTTGGGGAGGTGGGGAAGGCAGAGCGGGTCATGGCACAGATGTGGGGTAGAAAAGATAGTTGAGGGTCAAATGAGACCCCAAGGTTCGGGACTGGCTCAGTGAGGGGGAGTGAGCCCCATGGATGGTGACGCTGTCAGCGCCTGAGATGAGGAGGCGCTGATGGGAGCCAATCAGAAGCCTCGGTTTTGTTGGATGTTCAACTGAAGAAAGTTGGCTCTCATCCAGGACTTGACGTCTGACAGACATTGTGTCAGGACAGCAGTGGGTCCTGGAGTCGAGGGGGGAGGCAGAGAGGGAGAGTTGGGTGTCATCCCTTACATGTGGAAGTTGACCCCATGTCTGCGGATGATGTCACCAAGAGGGAGCATATAGATGTTGAAGAGGAGACAAGGACAGAGCCCTGAGGAACGCCGCACGAGACAGTGCGGGGGCTGGAGAAGCCGTTTGTGGAGATGAAGTGCAGACGGTATGAGAGGTACAATCTGAACCGGTCCAAGCCGCAGAGCGGAGGGCAGAGGTCCCAGTGGGTGATAATCATATCAGGAATGGAACACACTCCCCCGCGCTGGCAACTGGAGCTAATTCAACACAGGGATATCTCTGCTTCCAGACAATCAACCACCGGATGGGAATCCCCGTGAATCGATGTTCCTGGAAGTTACGTCGGGATTGGGGTTGAGATTTGTGTTGCCGAGACTCACCCCACCCCCCACCCTCGCCCCGCTCCACCAGAGATTTGCAACATTCTGGAATCCTCCCTATCTTACCTGGTCACTCACCCTGCAAAAACAACAGAACAAAGATTTTTTTGGGGTCAGCCATGTGTCTGACACACGTGGAAACCCATCATCGTTGCTTAAGAGTCTCCAAACCCAACTGAGAATTCCCTGCCTCCCACATGGAAATCCCAGAGATAGATTGTTGGGATGGAATGTGCGCTCTCTATCTCTCCCTGGAGGGACACAACCTGCTTTTCCTAATTCCAGAGAGTATTAGGCAGAGGTTGGCGAGAGCCAAGGCTTGTGGGGAGCCCAGAGTGTGGTTGGGGTGACTGCTGGAGTTTAAAACTAGATCACTTGCTATTGATATCACTGTGGGGCAAGCCTTCCCTCTGCTTGTCCAGCTAGGAACCCCCCTACCCATTAGGGCGAGATACAGTAAGATGTGACAGGGTGGGGGGGAGAGAAAGAGAGCAACAAGTGCAGCCTCACTCCACAATAACAGTCACTGCACTTTACAGTGAAACCTGGAAGTTTTGTCTCTCGCGGTTTCCTGGCCAACAATCCCCCCAAATAAAACCCCTCGCTCACCCTTCATGGCTGTTTGTGGGGATTTTGCTGCGTCCAAAATGACTGCCATGTTTACCCACAAACTACTCATTCACTACACTTTCAAACACCTTCGAACCAATTGGAAACGTGAAAACCGCTGTATCAACAGCAACAACTTGCATTTACACAGCACCCGTCACGCCCGGCAGCCTCCCAGAGCCCCTCGTCTGACCCCGAGCCAGGGAGTGGGGTCGGGGCGGGGGGGGGGGGGGGGAGTCTATGAACATGAACAAAAAGGTCTTTAGGAAGGTTTCAAATGTTAGGACAACACAAAAACAACACATGAAAGTTATACGGAGCCTTTCACATCAGGAGGACGTCCCAAGGCACTGGACAGTCAGGGATTTGGAGCCGAGCGGGGGGTTGGGATTGGGTGGGGGGTTGGGATTGGGTGGGGGGAGAGGGGGACAGGTGAAAAGTTAAAATTATGGATTAAAGGATGATTTTAATTGTAATTTTGCTGTCACGGGAACTGGCAAAGTTTCTTTTTAAATAAAGACAGAAACTCCAGGCTGAGTTTACCTCCTCCGGCTGCCGCTCCAGTCTCCGCTGATGAGCTTCCCCACACGACGCTTGCCTGGATAACAGCTTGGGCTCAGCCTGAAAAGTCAACAAATGGCATCTGTACAGTACCCGTCTCTGCAGTGGTTATAGCGCTCGCCTCGCAAGCCAGAGGACCCGGGTTCTATTCCCGGACAGGGAGAAACCTTAGGCAAGTTTCCTTACTTCACACACACACTCACCTCTGTTTACCAGCAGTCAGTAGGAACCCGGTTGTTAGTCAATTGGTGAATCACTTTTCTGAGGGTAATAATCCCTTCAAACAAGGTGAAGGGAGTGTGGGATGGAGTTGCAGAGGGTGGGGACAGAGAGGCTGAAGGCCCACAGAAGGTCAGGGCTGCCAATTCTCTGGTCTTAACCCTGGACCCATCCCTCCTCTCCAGCTACTGCCCCATCTCTAACCTCCCATTCCTCTCCAAAGTCCTGGAATGAGTCATGGCGTCCCAGCTCCGCACCTTTCTCTCTCGCCATTCCCCCTTTGAACCCTTCCAATCCGGCTTCCACACTGCCCACAGCACGGAAACGGCCCTGGTCACAGTCACTAATGACATTCTGACCATCTGTGATCAGGGCTCCCTCTGCCTCTCTGTCCTCCTCGACCTCTCTGCCGCCTTCGACACTGTCGACCACTCCATCCTCATACACCGCATCTCCTCTTTACTCAATCTTCGCGGACCTGCCCCTTGTCTGGTTCGATTCCTATCTCTTTCACTGTCTCTGCTTTGTTGCCTCTAACGGTTTCTCCTCCAGTCCCCACACTGTCATGTCTGGCGTCCCCCAGGGCTCTGTCCTTGGCCCTCATCATCCACAGACATGGGGTCAACTTCCACATATATGGGGATGACACCCAACTCTATCGTTCTGCCCCCACCCTCAACTCCAGGACCACTGCTGTCCTGACAGACTGTCTGTCGGATACCAAGTCCTGGATGAGGGCAAACTTCCTACAGTTGAATGTAAACAAGACTGAGGCCCTCCTGATTGACTCCGCCAGCGCCTCCGCACCTCAGGCTCTGGGAGCATCAACCTCCATGGTTGCCCACCACAATTCACCAGTCAATCAGGAACCCGGGTGTCTTGTTCAACTCTCAACTGTCTTTTCTTCCCCACATCCAAGCCATGACCCGCTCTGCCTTCCCTCACCTCTGTAACATCGCCCGACTCTGCCACTACCTCACCCCTCAGGCGCTGAAACTCTTGTTCACGCCTTCATCACCTCCAGACTCGACTATGCAAACGCCCTTTCCAACTCCTCCCTCCACAGCTGCAGATAATCCAGAACTCTGCAGCCCGTGTCCTCTCCCGCACCAAATTCCGTGACCCCATCTTCCCCACTCTCGCCCGACTCCATTGGCTCCCTATCCTTCAGAGGATCCAGTTCAAGATCCTGGCCCTCACCTACAAAGCCCTCCATGGCCTCACCCCACCCTACCTCTGTGACCTCCTAAACCCCTACCAACCCGTCCGCTCCCTCCGCTCAGCCGGCTCTGGCTGCTCCACATCCCCGACCCACCCGCCCCACCATTGACGGGAAAGCCTTTAGCCACTCTGCCCCCAACCTCTGGAATTCCACCCCCCAATCACTCCGCCTCACCCCCTCCTTAGCCTCCTTCAAGTCCCACCTCAAGATGCTCCTCTTTGACCGTGCCATCGGCCACCCCTCTTCCCTTCCCCCCGACCCCAGCTCGGGTCTGAAATGCTGTCCTCTGTCCTCCTGACGTGAAAGGCGCTATACAAATATCTTGTTGATGTTGTTGTGTGCAATTGGCTGCTGCATTTTTCCCACAAAATACAGTCACTACACTTTACGGTATATTCTGTGAAGTGCTTTGAGATGACTCAAAGATGTGATGAGGGGCTGTGTCAAATGAAAGGATTATTATTACATTATATTATCCTGCAACATCAAAATAATTATGAAATCCTCAGTGACGTGATGTATGTTGTAGAGAGTCAGCACTAACTCTCTCCCGTCTCGTCCGGTCTCCCAGGATGTTTCAGGCTCATCGCTTCCTCCTCCTACATTCCAGGATTCAGTTTTGCGAGCCCTGCTTTATTTTCTCGGCTTATTTGGCAAAATTGTTAGTTGCTGTGTTTCTGACCACGTCAGCCGCCAGGCCACGCCTCACATTAAGTGGAGTTAATCCTCGGTGGGTGAATGCCAGGAACCAGGCCTGGAGGATTGCGAAAACTCGTGGCTTGTGTAAACTTTTTGTGCTTCAAGTTAATGAAACCTGACAGGTCACGGCTTGCTCTCACTCTCTGTTCCCCATCGATCCGGGTGAGACATTGAACCAGGAGCCCTGGCGCCTGTTTAAGATGTTAAAATCCCTACAGCACGATTTAACTCTCTCACTGTGCCGCCCGACAATCCCACCCCCCCCAGACAAAATTAATCATAATAATCCTCACGTGATATAACGTCTGATCACATCTTCGAGATGTCTCAAAAGTGCTTCACAGGATACTGTAAAGTGTAGCAACTGTGTATGTTGTGGGCAAAACGCAGCAGCCAATTCGCCAATTAGGGTAAACTTTAAGATACTGCAGTGTGATGAGCCACATTATAAACATAGGAACAGGAGGAGGCCATTCAGCCCCTTGAGCCTGTTCTGCCATTCTATAAGATCATGGCTGATCTGTACCTCAACTCCTTTGCCCCGTATCCCTGATCCCCTGACCTGACAAACATCTCTCCACCTCAGTCTTGAAAATTTGAATGGATCCAGCCATAATCCACAGTCTTTTAGGAGACCCAGATAGTCCCAGATTCCCCCTCCTCCGTGTGAAAAAAACGTGAGATTTGGATTATTTGAACAGGCGGAATGTGCTGAGGGAGATAAGCACCGTCCCTGGTATGTGTTTCTACAGGTTGGAACAGGGCCACTCTGACCCAGAAGCGAGCTGTGCAGGTTGTGTGCGCGTGTATATATATGTGTAAAAATGTAAGGCAGTTCCATCCAAACCTGGTGTCCCTGTAGCTCAGTGGTTAGAGCACTGAGCTATAGGGACACCAGGTTGGATGGAACTGCCTTACACTCCCCGGGCTCAATTTTCAGGCGGGGCAAAGCCTTAGCTTAGGTTCCTTACACCACATGCCTCTGTTTACCGAGCAGTAAGAAGGAACCCGGTTGTTAAAAATCATAAATGATTGCCAATATGGGTTCATGAAGGGAGGTCTTGCCAGTCTAATTTACTGGTTCTCTTTGACGGTGTGACAAGGAAGCTTGATTAGGGTAAGGCTGTGGATATTGTGTATCTGGATTGCAGTGAGGCCTTTGATAACAGTTCCTCTTGAGAGGCTGGTACTAAAAGTAAAGAAAGCAGGAATCAGTGGAGGTTTATTACAATGGATACACAATTGGTTGACCAGAAGAACCCAGAAGGTGGTGGGACAGGGAATGTCATTGGACTTGGAAAATGTTACCAGTGGAGTTCCACAAAAGTCTGTTTTTGGATCTCTTTTGTTTCATATTTTTATAAATGATCTGGAACTAGGAGCTGCAATCACAGTGGCTAAGTTTGCAGTTGACACCAAGCTAATGAAGGTGATCGATTGTGAAGCTGAACAAGATAGGTTACAGGAGGATTTGAACATACTTGGGAATTGGGCAGATCGGTGGTGGATGAAATTCAATGTGGAGAAATGTAAAGTACTTCACATGGGGTCAAAAAATCCAGAAAGGGACAATTATTTGAATGGAAGGAAAATTATATGTATGGAAAATGAAAAGGACCAGGGAGTCCTGAGTGACAATAAATTGAAGCTTTCCCAACAATGCTCTGTGGCAGTGAGTAAAGCAAAACAGATGTTGGGATGCATCAAAAGATCAATAGCAGCCGGAATAGTGGGATAATCCTACCACTGTATATCATTGGTGAGACCACACTTAGAGACTCTGTACAGTTCTGGTCATCACAGTACAAAACGAATATTGGTGGAATCGAGAAGATATAGAGGAGGCCAACCAAAATGATTGAGGAGCCATTGAGTAAATTGGGCATGTTCACACTGGAAAAGAGAAGATGGAGAGGAGACACGATTGCTGTCTTTAAGATTCTAAAGGGGCCAAACTACATAGATCATGACGGGCTGTTTCAACTTGTCCAGAGTAGTAAAACCAGAGGACACGGCCTGCGATTGAATGGGGAAAATTCAAAACAAATCTTCGTAAACACTAAGATTAAGATTAAGATTAAGTGAGCGAATAGTGAACCTGTGGAACAGGGAGATGGTACAAGTAGGAAATGTTGATTCTTTCAAACACAGATTAGACAGTTTTTTTTAGGAAATAACATTATGGGATATAGAACATTGGGAGTTCAGGACGTATGTGCAAATGCGACCTCCAGGAAGCTGGAAGACGAATTAAATGGACCTCGGTCTTTTTCTCGTCTAGCATTTCTTTTGTCAGTTGATTGGAGGATCACTTTTGGGGGCAATAATCCCTTAAAAAAATTCATAATTTGGTTACTCAATCCACAACTGTTTGTGGGACACTGCTGTGCACAATTGGCTGCCACGTTTCGACCACAAAATACACATTTTACAGTACATTCTGTAAAATACAGTTTACAGTATATTCTGTGAAGCGCATTGAGAAATCTCAAGGATCAGATAAGGCGCTGCATCAAATGTAAGGATTATTATTATTAAACCTGGGTCTCTAAACAGACACCAACCGACTGTCAAGGAGCTGTGCCACCGGACACAAAACCTCACCGTTCCCCATGGATTTATTAAACTTTGGAGAGGAAAATGTGACGTGGGGGTCAATGACTTGCCGGGACTTCGACCACACGGAAATACACAGCCTCAAGGCCAAGGTTTTGGGGTTAGTTATAATGGTCACAATCACCCGCAACAGATCAGAAAACAATAACAAATCACATCTGTAAACTCCTTTCATGTCAGGAGGACGTCCCAAGACACTGAGAGATTGAACCTCTCCCTCCCCCCTTTCTCCCTCTCTCTGCCCCCCTCAGCCTCTCTTTCTCGTTCTGTTACAAACTCTCTCTCTCCAGTTTCTGTTGTCTCTCTGCCCCCCTCCCCCCCACTTGCCCCCCTCCAACTGACCCTTGAAGTGTCCTTGGACCCTGACCCTGGGCACCAAAACCAACGGACACGGACACAGGCACCGACTCCTCACCCACGGCCAAACCACTCGAGACATTTTACAGAGAAAAGGAAACCTACCACAGCTCACAGACCCCGGGGGTGACAGGGAAGCAGATCAACGCCACCCAAACCCAAACAGACAAAACCTGCTGCTGACGGGACATACATCTCTGCCCTGTCCTCCACCGGCTCTCTCTCGCTCTCCCTCTCTCTCCCCCAGTCATAGCTTCTTGTCTCTCATCTGCCAAGCAACTAATACAATAAGGTGACACACTCACACACCCTATCATATACACACGCGCACTGTCACACAGAGCGAGGGAGGGGGCGAGGCAGAGGGACTGCGGGATGGAGTTCCAGAGGGTGGGGGAAGCGAGGCTGCACATCTGTCTGTTCAAAGGTTCAAGTTGTGGGGACATCTTTTTGCAGGAGGTTTTGTGCACAGCAACAGCATTAGAGGATTGTCGGCCTGGACAGGACACGAGGACAAATTCCTTTCTGTTTTCCGACAGTGAGCACGAGATCATCAACATCCACCTGAACAGGTACAGAGACGCCGCTCAGACAAGGTCCCACTGCCCCCGGCACTGCGCAGGACTTCAGCCTCGACTGACAGCCAACGGCATTGTGATCCACAGAGAATGTGACCTCCAGTATCACTGAGGTGAGCAAACACAGAACCCCCCCCCCCCCCCCCCGTGTAAACAGCAGCCTCACTCTGCCCACAGACTCCCTCCCACTGGTTATAAAACTATTAAGTTATATAAACACTGGTTAGGCCTCAGCGAGAGACTGTGTTCAGTTCTGGGCCCCACACTTTAGGAAGGATGTCAAGGCATTGGAGAGGGTGCAAAGGAGATTGACCAGAATGGCACCAGGAATATCAGGAGAGGCGAGAGAGGCGAGGATTATTCTCCTTGGGGCAGAGAAGGTTAAGAGGAGACTTAATAGAAGTTTTCAAAATGATGAGGGGATTCGATCGGGCTACGGGGAGAGAGTAGGGAATGATTCTAATCTTCGCATTTGATACAGCGCCTCATCACGTCGTTCAGACGTCTCAAAGCGCTTCACAGATTATAGAATCCTAGAATTATAAGGCACAGAAGGAGACCATTCGGCCCATCGTGTCTGTGCTGCTCTTTGCAAAGAGCTTCCAAATCAACCCCACAACCCCCACCCACTCTCTCCCCACAGCTCTGATCAACCCCACTCCCCCCCGCTCTCTCCCCACAGCCCTGATCAACCCCACTCCCCCGCTCTCTCCCCACAGCCCTGATCAACCCCACTCCCCCGCTCTCTCCCCACAGCCCTGATCAACCCCACTCCCCCGCTCTCTCCCCACAGCCCTGATCAACCCCACTCCCCCGCTCTCTCCCCACAGCCCTGATCAACCCCACTCCCCCGCTCTCTCCCCACAGCCCTGATCAACCCCACTCCCCCACTCTCTTTCCACAGCCCTGATCAACCCCACTCCCCCACTCTCTTTCCACAGCCCTGATCAACCCCACTCCCCCACTCTCTTTCCACAGCCCTGATCAACCCCACTCCCCCACTCTCTTTCCATAGCCTTGCAAACTTGTCTTCCCCAAATATCTATTCACTTCTCTCTTGAAAGTTTCAGGCAGTGAATTCCTGTAAATGCAACAACAAGATTACATGTGTATAGCGCCTTTCATGTTGGGAGGACGTCCCAAGGCGCTGGACAGTGACAGCATTTCAGACCCGAGCTGGGGTCAGGGGGGAGAGGGGAGGGGAGGAAAAGGGGGATGACTGATGGTATGGTCGAAGTGGAGAGTTTTGAGGCGGGACTTGAAGGAGGCTAAGGAGGGGGCGAGGCGGAGTGATTGGGTGATGGAGTTGCAGAGGTTGGGGGCAGAGTGGCCCCAATGGTGGGGCGGGTGGGTTGGGTTACATGGAGCAGCCAGAGCCGGCTGAGTGGAGGGAGCGGGCGGGTTGGTAGGGGGTTAAGAGGTCACAGAGGTAGGAGGGGCGAGGCCATGGAGGGCTTTGTAGGTGAGGACCAGGATCTTGAACTGCATCCTCTGAGGATAGGGAGTCAATGGAGTCGGGCGAGAGTGGGGGAGATGGGGTCACGGAGTTTGGTGCGGGAGAGGACACGGGCTGCAGAGTTAGTTCTGGATTATCTGCAGCTGTGGAGGGAGGAGTTGGGAAGGCCGACAAGGAGAGTGTTTGCATAGTCGAGTCTGGAGGTGATGAAGGTGTGAACAAGAGGTTCAGCGCCTGAGGGGTGAGGTAGTGGCGGAGTCGGGTGATGTTATGGAGGTGAGGGAAGGCAGAGCGAGTTATGCACTGTAACGTGTACTGACCGTGTATCGATTCAGCCAAAAAGCTAATGCTATATTGTTTCATATAGTATAAAAAAACATAAACTGCATCCTGAAGTGAGAGAAAAAAAATCCCAAAACACAAAAATATGAAATCAAAATATTTGGAAACTTATGAAGTGGACAGTTGGGATTCCTGTTAAGTGCTTGACAACGAAAGACACCAGGATTTTTGTGGAGATGTGGGATTGCTGGAGCCCAGTGTAATGTTCCTAGGAATATTCCCCCCTCCCCCCGCAAAACAACCTCTCGAATCCACCACCTCAGAACCAGTAACAGTCTCTCGTTCCTGCAGCCCCATTCACTGTCTCAGCAAAACACTAGGCTTTTGAGTTGGTCAAAAAAAATCTAATTTAAATCGAAAAATTGCACCAATATAAGCCAACCTGGCACAAATTCATTGTCCAATGACAGTGCAACAGCCTTAAAGAAGCCTCGTCAAAATAGGGGTAGCCCGACAGACAGACAAACTGACGTGCAGTGCACACTGTTGATACACACTGTCTGGAGGAAGTCACTCTAACTTCTGGAGACTGCCGGAGTCTGTCCACAACAGGGGCAAAACAATGAAGACGTTGGCCCAGTTAAACACTGCCTTGTCTGCCACAAACATACGCTCTGGCCTGACCCGCTGATCTCCTCACTCCACTCACGTGTAAAGAAAGCGAAGCTTGTGGTGATGGTGCTGAGTGGGTGGAACGCAATCTGTCGTGGGGTTAGCGCTGTTTGACCAGTGTTTACTACTGGCCAACCTACTCCACCACCCCACAAAGACTGATTCACCCATAAATTCTGAGAGCAAACTTATCCAACCCAGGGCCACTTTGAATTTTCTAGCCTCTCGCACTGTGACTCATCTCCTTAGCATATTAGTATGTAGTTTAGAAGTGGTTTGGCTGTAAATCCCAGAGTTTTAGCTAACCATGGACTCAACTGCTCTCCATCCTGTCATCAGCACCACAGCTAAGCGGCTCCTGCAACCTTCTTGGCTAGTAATAAAAAAAATCAGCAACTCAGTGGGTGGTAAGTGGTGCCAGATAGATCTACAGTATCAAGAGAAGCATTGAAAGCCCCCTGGACTGAACCCTTTGACACAGAAGCCAGCCACATCAAATCACCTCCAGCCACAACACCCCCCATCACGGCATGTGTAAACACTGCACCGCCATCTCCCAGGCTACAAGAACAGGGAGCGGCAGAGAAACTTCACTTGGACCACAAACACCTCACTCCCTTCATCCACCCCACCCACCCCCTCCTCACTCCACCCACCTCCTCCTCGGACACTCACTCCAAGGCTGCCTTTCTATTGTATTGCACTGAAACAAGTGTGAGTGGCCAGGAGCCAACCTCTCCTCCCTCTCCCTCCAATCCCAACCCAGGCTTCTAAGTTATCTAAATGTTTTGTCAAAAGCAAACTGCTCTGCTCTTCAGGACACTTTCCGATAACATAGTCAATGCCAAGTCCATTTCCACCAACCCCCAAGAGTGATTCTGAGCGGAACAAGCCTTGGCAACCAAAGGGTTAACCCTACAAACACTGATGAATTGGGTGGTGAGACCGGGTGCGTTTATGCTGCAG